ACTGCACCCTCAACTTCGCAGGCTCAAGCAGTCCTCTCACCTCAGCCTCCTGAGTGGCTGGGACTACAGGCACGTGCCACCACACCTGGCTTATTTTTTGTTTTGTTTTGTTTTATAGACAGGAGGTTTCACTATGTTGCCCAGGCTAGTCTCAAACTCCTGGGCTCAAGCAGTCCTCCTTCCTGGGCCTCCCAAAGTGCTGGTATTATAGATGTGAGCCACCATGTCCAGGTGCAGCCCTGCTTTGAATTAGCTATAACTACCTGAAAAGAAGTGTCACAGTATTTGAACAGACGTTTTTTAAATTGTGTAATCATTCTCCCCTAGACAGTCTTCACTAGGTGCGAGCCTGCGCAGTGGCATGCACCTGTAGTGCCAACTACTTGGGGGTTCAAGTGGGGAGGATCTCTGGAGCCCAGGAGCTCAAGTCCAGCCTGGACAACATAGTGAGATTCCATCTCAAAAAAGGGAAAAGATCTAAATGCAATAATAATAATCCTGAAAAGAAAGAGTTAAGCTAGATTTCTTATATCTCCTTTCCATTCTGTGCTTTTCTTACAATGGAGCTCCAGAACACATTGCTATTCTTCTAGCCACCACAAGGGTCAAAGAACCAACCCCACCCACTCAAGTGGGTGGAGTAAGTAACATTCATAGTGTTGGAGCAGAGTGCACAGTAAATGGCTCCCTGGGTTGGTTAAACAGTGACCAACCCATGATAACCACAGGAAGCTTATTTGTCACAGGCCATTTTTAAAGGCAGAATGCCTCTGCTGCTGAAGTGGGAAGGTAATGGTGATGAGTGATAGGTTGCCTCCACCCATCTCCTGGTGTCATATTGGGAGAGGGGGTACAAACTGAAAAGTGAATCATGGTTAAAAGTGCAAGTGAAGTAACAAGGAAGTGTTGGCTCGTTTTACCAAGGGGAGGGAGCAAAGCAGTTGAACGTGATATAAATTTGGCTCTCAGTACCTCTTAGATCTCAGAATATTAACTCAGTAAGCTTGAAATTAAACTAAATCTTAGGGGCTTAGGGATTTAAACTAAATCCCTGCCACATCTGACTTCCCCTTCCTCAAAATACCAATAGTATGTGCAACACAGAATTGTAGCTCAGAGGTAGCATGCTGTTTCAAATTCTTGGGATATGCATGTTACGTTTTTAAAAGAAGTGGTATATCAGACGCCTGAAGGTCAAGTCTCTCTGCTACCAACAAACTCTTGTGACCTTGAGCCCCTCCTCTCAGTTCCTCTTCAGTAAAAGAGATACCTCACGGTGGCTGTGTGTTCACCAAATAGGAACTACATGTGGCATTATTTATCTTTTGCCCTTGTATAAAAAAAAGTAATCTTGCCCATTGAAAGTTTCTTCCAGCTATAGGAAAATGGTTAAATAAATATGTGGAATATTAAGAAATTATTGTTCAGCCAGGCACGGAGCCTCATGCCTGTAATCTCAGCACTTTTGGAGGCCGAGGCAGGAGCATCGCTTGAGGCCAAGAGTTCAAGCCCAGCCTGGGCAACGTAGTGCGACCCTGTCTTTGTATATAAATAAATCAGTAGGCAGGGCACAGTGGCTCACGCCTATAATCCCAGCACTTTGGAAGGCCAAGACAAGTGGGTTGCTTGAGGTCAGGAGTTTGAGACCAGCCTGGGCAACATGGTGAAACCCCATCTCTACTAAAAAATATAAAAATTAGCTGAGTGTGGTGGCGGATGCCTGTAATCCCAGCTACTAGGGACGCTGGGGCAGAAGAATTGCCTGAACCCAGGAGGTGGAGGTTGCAGTGAGCCGAGATTGCGCCACTGCACTTCCACCTGGGCGACAGAGTGAGACTCGGTCTCAAAAAAACTAAATTGAAGTAAAATAAAATGTTTGTTTCTTAAGCCACGTCATTCTGGAAGCAGTTTCCACCAGGTGAAGCAGTCACAGTGACAGAGAAAAAAATAGGGAGTCTCAGTCTGGTTTTTGTTGCTATAACAATACCACAGACTGAATAATTTATGAAGAAAATATGTTTATTTGACTCACGTTCTGGGGACTGGGAGGTCCAAGAGCATGGCACCAGCATCTGGCAAGGGCCTTCGTGCCCTTTCCCATCATCCTATAGCAAAGGCAGAAGGGCAAGAGAGGGCCAGACTCACTTTTTTTTTTTCCCTTTGGAGACAGAGTCTCGCTCTGTCTCCCAGGCTGGAGCATACCCAAGCTGGAGTACAGTGGTGCTATCTCGCCTCATTGCAAGCTCCGCCTCCCGGGTTCACACATTCTCCCACCTCAGCCTCCTGAATAGCTGGGACTACAGGCACCCGCCACCATGCCCGGCTAATTTTTTTTGTTTTTGTATTTTTGGTAGACACGGGGTTTCACTGTGTTCGCCAGGATGGTCTCGATCTCCTGACCTTGTGATCCTCCCACCTCAGCCTCCCAAAGTGCTGGGATTACAGGCGTGAGCCACCACACCCGACCCAGACTCACTTTTTTAACAACCCTTCTTGTGATAACAAACCAACTTCCCCTGTAACAACATTAATCCATTCATGAGGGCAGAGCCCCACATGGCCTAATCACCTAATTACCGTCACAGTGGCAATTAAATTTCAACATGTGGCCAGGCATGGTGGTTCACTCCTGTAATCCCAATACCTGGGGAGTCCAAGGTAGAAAGGTCACTTGAGCCCAGAAGTTCAAGGCTGCAGTGAGCTATTGTATCAATGCACTGTAGCCTGGACTACAGAGTGAGACCCTGCTTCCAAAAAAGAATCATCATCATAAATTTTGGCCGGGCGTGGAAAAATTAGCCAGGCACGGTGGTGCACGCCTGTAGTCCCAGCTACTTGGGAGGCTAAGGCAGGAGAATCACTTGAACCCAGGAGGTAGAGATTGCAGCGAGCTGAGATTGTACCACTGCACTCCAGCCTGGACAACAGAGTAAGACTGTGTCTCAAAAAAAAAAAAAACATAAATTTTAACATGAGTTTTCGAAAGGACGTTCAAACCATAGCAGAAGGTATAAAAGGGGTTCTTGGTTTTTTGGGGTTTTTTATTGTTCTTGTCATTTGATTCAAAAACCTGGAAAGTAGCCAGCAGTAGGTTCTGGTTTGGGGGAGAAGACATGTAGAGTGTACAGCCTTCTGGACACCAGTATTAATAACTAGCTAAGATTTCATTCACTGCCCTTTGCCTTAAAAGCTGTCTATGCACTGAGTAATTTTAAAGCATACAAGATCAGCAGACAAACAGATCAGTTCCCAAGAGTCCTGGTTTTTTCTCTTTATTCGCCTGAGTTAGTGGCTCAGCCTGTGCTTAGGTTGATAACTAACAATCTGTTCTCTCACTTGACATTTGGCCTCCTTTTGCTCTCTTGAAAACCAAATGTGATTAAGTACAATGTAGGATCTGGGGAACAGAGAACATATTAAGGATGTAGTCAAGTCCTAAAAAAGTGAAGGATGAACTTTGATTAAAGATTCTCAGCCGGGCGCAGTGGCTCGTTCCTGTAATCCCAGCACTTTGGGAGAATGAGGTGGGTGGATCATCTGAGGTCAGGAGTTCAAGACCAGCCTGACCAACATGAAGAAACCCTATCTCAACTAAAAATACAAAAAAAAATTAGCCGGGCATGGTGGTGCATGCCTATAATTCTAGCTACTTGGGAGGTTGAGGCAGGAGAATCACATGAACGTGGGAGGCGGAGACTGTGGTGAGCTGAGATCGCGCCATTGCACTCCAGCCTGGGCAAAAAGAGATTCTCCTCTCAGTTCTGTGACTTGTTGGTGACTAAATCCACTTGCCCTCTGTCTCTACTTTCCCGTCCACCAAATGAAAGTTAGGAAGGATGCCAACTTAGGAAGAGCTTGACAAGTACAATACTTTAAAAATAATGAAATTATCGTGGCCTTTGGATTAACATATTTGGTTTTGTTTTGTTTTTATTTTCTAGTTATTAAAGAGGGTGTACGGGAGTTTCTTGGTAAATCCAGAATCAGGTATGTAGTCGTGTGAGCAATTATGGAATGGCATGGGAAGAGAGGTGTCCTTTTTATATTATGCTTTTCTTACCCAAAGGATTTCATTTAAATATTATTACAAATATTTCTTCATGAGCCCATTCCTAATTCAACTCCCTCCATAAAAATAGCTTTTAAGAGGCTTTGCTTTGTCCAGTATGGAATACAGTAGGGGTACAAAATTGATGTATGACATTTTTAACATTTACTTGATGGGTCCACATGACTCGTAATCTTTCAGCCAGAGGGCCACATTTGTTTGTTCATGGTGATTAAAATGCCTTTGAAAAGGATGAGCAAACATTGATTCCCACCCTCAGCCCTTAGTAACCTTTTTCTGCACACTACATATTTGGAGAAGGAAGAGGAATATTCACCACACTATTGTGATTTCAAGTAATAAAAATCAGACCCTTTCTTAATCCAGTCTTCTAATAGGTGGTCTCAGCATTCATGGCCAGAGGAATTGAAAGGTACCGTGTCATCCTTGAATAGAACAGCTATGTTATACTGCTGTAAAGGTGGTTTAAAGTGGAAAAACTGGACAGCCTTTTTACCCTGTGATTCAGTGGCATGTCTCAAATTCTGAGGCATTTAGCGGGACCCCAAAGTGAGAACCAGCTAGTAAGACCATTGGAACATAATATTTTTTATTCAACTATTACAACTCTGGTACCTTGATTAGAAAAGTCTTCTAAGAAGGAAGTTCTCTGTCACTCTTAACAGCAGTTACTTGTGCTAGCTTATTTTATCACCTCACCTATTTTTTCAGACAGTGTGATTCTGTTGCCCAGGCTGGAATGCAGTGGTACAGTTACAGCTCACTGCAGCCTCCTCCAAATCTTGTGCTCAAGCAATCCTCCTGCTTTAGCCTCTCCAGTAGCTGGAAACTACAGGCACATGCCACCATACCTAACTAATTTTTTTATTATTTTGTAGAAACAGGGTCTCACTGTCTGCTGCGCAGACTGCCAAAACAGAGTAAGGAGGTCTGAAACTCCTAGCCTCAAGCAATCCACCCACCTCAGCCTCCGCCTCCCAGAGAGTTGGGATTACAGGCATGAGCCACCATACCCAGCACCTTTTTTTTTTTTTTTTTTTTTTTAAATCTCCAAATTGGCGGGATGAATGTGTCACAGAAATAAAAGCCAAGATAACACTGTAGGCTTTTGGCGGAATCAAGGTATTAAAGAAAGAAACAAACAGATCTAGAACAGAAAAGTCGTGTCCAAAGTCTTGGGCATGCTTGTCACAGCCAATATCCTGACATGGAAAGTTTATGTTTCCGTGCCTGAGGCTCCTCCTACCTCCCACTAAATCATAGACATTGCCAGATTGCAGACCCTATCTTCATACAAGTGTAAAATGTAAAAGTGTGTGAAAGTAGTGTCTCAACCAAGTACAGTGGCTCACACCTTTAATCCCAGCACTTCCGGAGGCCAAGGTGGGTGAATTGCTTGAGCCCAGGCATTCAGGACCAGCCTGGGCGACAAAATGAGACCCCTGTCTCGACAAAAAATACAGAAATTAGTTAGGCATGGTGGCAGCCACCTGTAATCCCAGGTAGTCGGGTGGCTGAGGCACGAGAATCGCTTGAACCAAGGAGGCAGAGGTTGCTGTGAGCCGAGATTGTGCCACTGCCCTCCAGCCTAGGCGACAGAGCAAGATTCAGTCTCAAAAAAAAAAAAAAAAAAAAAAAGTAGTGTCTCCCCTCCTCTTTTTTAATGGGTTTTTCTAGGCACGTTTGGAAAACTCAGCAAGTCATACTAGATTTTTACTTCCCTTCATCCTCAGTATATTCTGTTCATCATGTTAGAAGCCTTACTTAAAGACAGACTTTACCTTAGCTATAGTTTTATTTACTTTTGTTTGGCTTCCTAAAACTAGCAAACCTCAGTTCTAAGTATTTTCTTTTTTAATCTAACCTTGTAATCTGTGTGCTTATCTGCTTTTCAAGTACCCAAAATGGAATGATGATTGATATTATTTAATACTGGAGTGCCAAAAATGTGCTAAGTATTATCTGTTGCAAAGATTTAGCCCATCCTCCCAAATAGCCTATGTTCAACAAAAAATACAGAGCTCAGCCGGTCACCGTGGCTCACGCCTGTAATCCCAGCACTGCCGGAGGCCGGGGCAGGCGGATCACCTGCATTCAGGAGTTTGAGACCAGCCTGACCAACATGGAGAAACCCCATCTCTACTAAAAATACAAAATTAGCCAGGCGTGGTGGCGCGTGCCTGTAATCCCAGCTACTCAGGAGGCTGAGGCAGGAGAATCGCTTGAACCTGGGAGGTGGATGTTGTGGTGAGCAGAGATCAGGCCATTGCACTCCAGCCTGGGCAACAAGAGCAAAACTCCGTCTCAAAAAAAAAAAAAAAAAAAAAAAAGATCTCAAGAATGCTTTTGGGAAAAAATGAAATAGTAATGAGGTTTCAGATACTTAGAAGTGTGAAATCCGTACAGTTCTGGTGAAGTTATTCCCGTCAGTTGCCTAGAATATAAAATGATCCTCAGTGATATATACAAATATTCTTGGAAAAACATCTCTAAACCTTTTTTACACTTATTAATCATTTGATTCTATAATCAAGTGTTCCAGCCCGGCTTCTGGGAATTCATAGTGGACATGCTGTAAAGAGGCAGGTCACCCAACGGTTTCAGTCCGTATTCTGCACCCAAATTGATGACCTGTCATGTTCCACACACTTTAAGTACTGTACATTCTTTTAATGCTCACAACAGTCTCCCCTATCTCCACACCCCCTCCCGCCCCCCCTCCTTTTTGTTTGTTTGTTTTGTTTTTTGAGACAGAATTTCACTAGTCTCCCAGGCTGGAGTGCAGTGTCATGATCTCAGCTCATTACAACAACCTCCACCTCCCAGGTTCAAGCAATTCTCCTGCCTCAGCCTCCAGAGTACCTGGGACCACAGGCATGCACCACTGCACCCAGCTAATTTTGTATTTTTAGTAGAGACGGGGTTTTGCCATATTGGCCAGGCTGGTCTCAAACTCCTGACCTCAGGTGATCCGCCCATCTTGGCCTCCTAGAGTGCTGGGAATACAGGTGTGAGCCACTGTGCCCAGGCCACCCTACCTCCCCCGCTTTTTTTTTTAACCGACGAGGGAATTGACAGGCGATTTTTTTTTTTTTTTTCTGGAGACGGAGTCTCACTCTGTTGTGCAGTGGCGCGATCTCAGCTCACTGCAATCTCCACCTTGTGGGTTCAAGTGATTCTCCTGCCTCAGCCTCCCGAGTAGCTAGGATTACAGGTGCCCACCACCACACCTGGCTAGTTTTTTGTTTTTAGTAGAGACAGGGTTTCGCCATGTTGGCCAGGATGGTCTCAAATTCCTGACCTCAAGTGATCTGCCCACCTCAGCCTCCCAAAGTGCTGGGATTACAGGCATGAGCCACCACACCCAGAAGTGTTTTTAAGGTTACAAGATGACAAGGCCAGGATTTGGACCCAGTTCTGTTCAACTCAAAATAGAGGCCCTACACTTATGTGTCATGCTGTATTTGGCAATTCATGTCATTTCTTTGAATCTCCTTTTTCCTCTGTAAAACAGTAACCTTATCTAGCCTGCAGACTTCAAAGCATGGTTATGGAGATCAAATGAAGTAAAATGTTATAAAAAATACTGAAAATTTTACAATGTATACCAATAAAAGCTATTGAAGAGGTGTATACATGAACAGATAGTTGGTTTTTCGACCCTGCCTCCTCATAGTTTGCAGTAGCATGTAGAAGGGTCTGTCGTATTATCACAAAGCTACCCATCTGCTGGCCATATTGATACTTGGCACATTAAACTATCAGAGAAAGATGTGTGGCTCCTTTACAACTGTGTCTGGAAGAGTACATTTCCAATCAGAGTTCCCAGGTTCTGACTTTCTCTCATTACATATTTGTAATTAGTCATCTTTGATACTGATTCAAATTTTTGATTAACATTAATTATATATATTTACAAGAATCTTATAAAAAGATTTTATTTCACCTCATTTTTCCCTGTGAGGTAGATGAAAATAGACTATATTCTACCGAGGTTAAAAGTACAGATAATGAGACAAAGTAAAATGTCAATAGAACCTGAAAAAAAATTTTTTTAATTGCCTCTAGCCTCTGTTCACTTGTTAAGAGATAGTATGCTGCTTTTTGTTTTGTTTTGTTTTTTAAATGTAGCTGCTGGGTTGTTTTTTGGTTTTTTTCCTCCCTCCAGGATACAATGTCTCTTTGCTATACGACCTTGAAAATCTTCCGGCATCCAAGGATTCCATTGTGCATCAAGCTGGCATGTTGAAGCGAAATTGTTTTGCCTCTGTCTTTGAAAAATACTTCCAGTTCCAAGAAGAGGGCAAGGAAGGAGAGAACAGGGCAGTTATCCATTATAGAGATGATGAGACCATGTGAGTACAGAATTTAGTCCTGAAGCCTGGATATGACTGTCACACCACCATGGCACTTACTGAAAGAAATATGGCTTGGTCAGACCTTAAGCTGTATTGTGTGAAAATGTTTTTCTCATAAAATTTATTAAGCCAGGAAGTAGATGATAGGGCAAAAATCAGCCACTCCTCCTACTCTCCAGATACTGAGAGCTGACAGAAGGTGGAAAGAGAATCCAGTGCTTTCTTTTGAGGCACCACTGTTCTGAGTCATGTTTAAGAGTATAACCTGGATAATCAGCAGGCAAGGTGACCATCGGCTCCATGGTATATTTACAAGTCAATAAAATCTACTTCTGATAACTTCCATCTGCTGCCTCTCTTAGGGCATTCATTTTGTGCACTGACTTTGTTGACCATAAATATCGTTTCATTTGGCACACCTTTATATTATGATTTAAGAGATTTGTGACTTTAGCCTTCTGATGCACTTGTAGATCAAGTTATTGACAAAACCCCATTCTGATTCTGTACTTATCCTCATGGGTTTTGTTCCCCTCAGGTATGTTGAGTCTAAAAAGGACAGAGTCACAGTAGTCTTCAGCACAGTTTTTAAGGATGACGACGATGTGGTCATTGGAAAGGTGTTCATGCAGGTATGGAGCAGACATCTTGGGGGAAAACCATGCATGGCGACTTACACCTTTGCACCCAAACATACCATGAGCATAGGAAAGAGATCTAGCAGCTCTATTGATGTTAGGATTTTTTTTTTTTCCTGAGACGGAGTTTCGCTCTTGTTGCCCAGGCTGGAGTGCAATGGCGCGATCTCGGCTCACTGCAACCTCCGCCTCCCGGGTTCAAGCAATTGTCCTGCCTCAACCTGCCGAGTAGCTGGGATTATAAGCATGTGCCACCACGCCCGCCTAATTTTGTATTTTTAGTAGAGACGGGGTTTCTCCATGTTGGTCAGGCTGGTCTCCAACTGCCAACCTCAGGTGATGCCCATCTCAGTCTCCCAAAGTGCTGGGATTACAGGTGTGAGCTACCGCGCCCAGCCTTGACGTTAGAATTTGTTGAAGATTTAATAGACAACTCCCACAAAACTCAGTGAATGTTTTTTGTTGCTGTTGTTGTTGTTTTGAGATGGAGTCTTGCTCTGTTACCAGGCTGGAGTGCAGTGGCATGATTTCAGCTCACTGCAACCTTCGCTTCCCGGGTTCAAGCGATTCTCCTGCTTCAGCCTCCCAAGTAGCTGGGATTACAGGCGCCCACCACCACACCCAGCTAATTTTTGTACTTTTAGTAGACATGGGGTTTCACCATGTTGGCCAGGATGGTGTCGATCTCCTGACCTTGTGATCCGCCCGCCTCAGCCTCCCAAAGTGCTGGGATTACAGGCATGAGCCCCTGCGCCCAGCCTAATCTTTTTTTTCTCAGTGGTTCTAGTTTTGCAGGACAAAACTAAAGGGTGAGTTGAGAATTAAGCATACTAACTATGAATGAATATTATGTATCCTTCCTACTGTGGGGTCTTTGACCTAAAACTTTGTCAGGTTTCCTAACCCTAACCTCTTGTGTTTCCTCAGATTTCTAGTAAGTTCTGCTTTTGGTTTGGTCCTAAGATCTTTTCAGAATGGGCTCTGTAGCCAATTCTTTGGTAGTAGATAATGTACGAACAGGTAGAGTTGTTGAACTGACAGACTGAGCCTGAGTTTGGGTGATGGGTCAACATATAGTACTTCCCTCACAGGAAGTTCATCTTAAGAAGAGTCATGAGAGGCCAGGCGCGGTGGCTCACACCTGTAATCCCAGCACTGTGGGAGGCCAAGGTGGGCAGATCACAAGGTCAAGAGATCGAGATCATCCTGGCCAACATAGTGAAACCCCATCTCTACTAAAAAAGTACAAAAAATTAGCCAGGCATGGTGGCAGGCACCTGTAATCCCAGCTACTTGGAAGGCTGAGGCAGGAGAATCACTTGAACCCAGGAAGCAGAGGTTGCAGTGAGCCAAGATCGTGCCATTGCACTCCAGCCTGGGGAAAAAGAGCGAAACTCCATCTCCAAAAAAAAAGAGTCATGAGAGTGAGCAGGGCATTTTGTAATTGGATTTTTGGTGTAGTTGTATTCAGGTCATTGTGTACCAATCTGCTGGCCAGTTAGTTGCTGGCTCTAGAATGGACATGAGAGTTCATTGGTCAAGTGACATTCAGGCTGGTTTCTTCTGAGATGGCTCAGCATTCAAAATCGAGTACAATGGTAAAATTTTTTTAAAACGTTACTACCTTCATTCTGTTCCTTGGCAGGGTGGTAAAGATTTTTAAATTCTGAAGCAGAATCTCTTTTGCCAAATAGAAAGACAACTGTGCTTAAACAGTAAAGATACCTTGCGTAGCCTTCTAAGTGGCTAGGGAAATCTTCAAAAGTGATATTCTCAATTGCTCCATCCCTAGTGGGTTTTGTGTTTTGGCTAATTAATCAGAAACTCTAGTTTGGGGAAAAATTGGAATATTGACACTTCAGCATTTGCTAGTGCTGAACTTGATGAAAGAATATAAAAACATACACATATCTCTTGGGTCCTAAAATAAGCCTCTAGATAGGCATTTCATGTGTTTTTATGCAAAATTGACAGGGGAATTAAATGCAGTACCTCAGAAATTGGGCTAAATCCAGAGTCACTAACTTTTAAAGCTCTGAAGTATGTATTTAGATTTGGCTGGTTTTTTACCAATCTTACTCCATTTTATTCCAGGAAACAACTTATTTCTATACTTTAAACAGATCTTATCTTGGAGAGTGTACTGGAGATTTGTTCCTTAGGAGAATTTTGTGTATTATTTTTTGGCATATGAATTTAAATGCCTCCTTCAGGGTACCTGTGGTAGGTCGCTTACCTAAAAGGGAAGACAAAGCCTCTTCTGCATTTTGACACTAACAGGATCTCTAGATAGTAACTGGCCTTGTGCAGTGCTAGACTCAGGAAGTCATCTGCCCTGCCACCCTTTCCAAATGCAGAGGCTGAGGTAATTTGTTGGAAATGACCATCAAAAACTGGACTTTTGCTGGATTTTCCCAAAAAATAAATAGAACTTTTTCCTAGGCCTGGAATTGTAAATTTCTAGGAAAAAGAATGAGGGTCACCTGGCACAGAAAGTTGTACCCTGGGAACACTGTTTGAAGTTCCTCATGGTCACTAGTCTACTAGTTGCCAGCCTTTGTGGCCTTTCCCTTCCAGCATTCACATCCAGCCTGATCAGAATTCAAGTCTTGCTTTTGTCATTTGGCAAGCAGACTCTGAGGGATGCTTTTCCCCTCTCAGAAAAAGACAGGAAGTTTATTCCTCCACTCTCATGGATGTCTTACTGTTAGTGGTATGGGCGTTGATCAGCTGAGTACTGGAGAATGTCTGATAGAAGCCATCATTTCAACGCTTATTCCATGAAAAGCAGTAGGACCAGTAATCATGCTTTTGGAGATTAGCTTATGGTGGACTAGAATTCTTTTCATATTATAATTTTTTAAAGCCAAGTTAGTACTAAATAACCAGGAAGAGTTAAGTGGAAACCACCGGTTTCTGTATGTTCAGGGACAAAGACACAAGCATCTGCCTCTTAGGCAGTTGTAAAGACGTTATTTTAAGGGCCGTTTCTGCCTGTTTGCATGTGTGGTTGTGTCTGTAGGATATTTTCCTGAACTGGGAACACTGAGTCCAAGTTCAGTAATTTTGGTAGATATTGCCAAACTCTTCTCCATCAGAGTAGTAGCATTTTATCATCCACCAGTGATGGATAGAAGTGTCTGTTTTCCCAGAGTATGTTGTCAGCTTTTGGGTTTCTCCTAATCTGATAGGTTAAAAGTGATGTCTCTGTTCACTTATGAATGAGGTCAGAACATCTTTTCTTACATTGTAGACCATTTGATTTTCTTACGAAGTGTCTCTTTATGCCTTTACCCATTGTTCTGTGGGGTTATTGAGCTTCTCAATTTCTTTATGTACTAGGGAGAGTAGCCTTTCATCTGTGATTAAGAGTTGAAATATTTTCTCCCGTTTGTCATTGGACCTTGGTTTGTGGGGTTTTTTCCCCCATGTGGAAGTTTGTTTTTGCATAATCACATTAATCATTCTTGCCTTTTATGGCTTCCAGATTTTGAGTAAAGGGGTAGAAAACCCTTCCCTACTCCAAGGTTATAAGGAAATTTACCTGTTATTTTCTGGGTATTTTTACAGTTACATATTTTATACATGATTTTTTATTTGTTGAGACCTCCTCTTGGTATATGGTATGAAAGAATAATCTTTTTTTTTTTCTAAATGGCTATCCAGTGGTTCCAGTAGCAATTATTTCCATGTTTACACCCCTGATTTAAGATGCTACCTTTATCGTATGCTAAATTCCTTGTATATATTTGAATTTATTCTGAACTTCCTATGATAAATAGTAGTTTGGAAGAGAGAAATAGTCTGAAGCTCAAAAGACGTCCTAGCCAGGAGAGTAAAAAGACAATATTGCTGAATTACATGTAACAAAGATGCCAGTGAAGATGGAGGACTGTTTGGGTGTGTTTGTTTTAAAGTTTTATTTGGGAGAGAGAACCGAGGAGAAGCAAAGACGTCAGATAATCTAAAGAATAGTCCAGCCAAAAATTAGCCGGGGATGGTGGCACACGCCTGTAATCTCAGCTACTCGTGAGGCCGAGACATGAAAATTGCTTGAACCCGGGAGGTGGAGGTTGCAGTGAGCCAGGATCGCGCCTCTGCTCTCCAGCCTGGGTGATAGAGTGAAACCCTGTCTCAAAAAAGAAAGAAAGAGTAGGCCCAAACCAGAAACAGATTGTTGACCGAGTCTTAAATATATTATTTTCCATATACAAAACTAATGAGTGCTAATAAGTCACCACTGGTTTATAAATACCCTATCTCATTGTGAATACCACATGTACCTGTGAATTGGAGCCTTAGAGATACTTAATAAACACAAGAAAATGCCAGCAGTTACATATCTGTTCTGTTTAATTCCTTAAGACTGAAAAGTAAAACCAGTAGAAGTTAAAAAGCTTCTTAACCCCTTTGTAGAATAAAAAATGTTTTCTAGAGAAGGGTGATTGTAGAAGCTTTGCTCTAGAAATTTCCATTTGGGATAATCTTGACTCCTTCCCTTCCTTTGCAGATATTTTTCCTTTCGGGCAGAAAATCTGTTCAAAAGGGGACTAATCTAACCCAGCTTATGGTCATTTCTTTTCCTACTTAAAGCTTGGTAGTGTTAGCATGAGAGGCAGTTTGTGAAATCGGTGAGGTCCCAGGCTAGGCATTGCGGCTCCTCAGCCATCATCTTTCCTTTGCCACTAATTGCTGAGAGGGTTTGCTCATCAGTGTGTATTCTTCCTGCCTGCAACTGAAAACAGCCCTTGCCTATTCCTGTACAGTGTGATGATACTAAACCAGCTTGGATAGAAGCACTTGCATTCTCTCAGCAAGGCATATGCTGCATAGCCTCTTTGAAGGACAGAGGAATAAATTACAAAGATAAATTAAGCAGGATCTTTGATTTGAACTCATAATGTGTTAGGGGGGCCAGATGCATTAATGAATAGTAAAATGTCATAGTAGAGGTTTGTAGAAAAGACATGGCAGCTCCAGCAAGAGAGCAGTACCTGCCTGGGTTTGTTGGAGATGGTGTTAGGAGGTGGTATTGGAGCAGCAGTAGAAGGGCACTGCAGGCCACATGACTGTAACCATGCCTTCAGAACTCCTAAAACAAGAGACCTTGGAGAGTCCTTGGCTGCATCCTCCTGCTATCTATCATCGTCGAAGGCCCGCTTGATGAATTTGGATCATCCAGTTTTACTGGCATTGCTAGAAAATCTACTTCTGTTCTTGCAGATATGGCTGAGAGAAGGAAGTCTTGTATTACTTGTCTATTTACATAGGAATGCATGGACTATAGAAGCTTCAGGTTTGGAGATTGAAACATAGAAGGAAGGGCTTCCTTTATGAGCACCAAGACAGCTCAGCTTCTTTCATTCCATTGTCTTCTGTCCCCAAGAAGAGCTTAAGTTTGCTCTAAAGATTTTATTGATGAATTCTAAATAGCAACAGGATCCTCAGTGAAAAAAGACTCATGCAAAGTCCCAGAGCCTAGAGAAAGTATGGTAGTTTATCACCTATGTTGGTCCAAGGGAAAAGGATTATCACTACTTTTCATCACGTTTTGAAGATCTGGCTTATTACTTTGAAGTCTCTTCCTTTTGAATCTGAAGTGCAGTGGCAGCAGCTAGCACTTGTAATATTTCAGGCTTGGTGTAGTTTATTTGTAACCTCCTGCTGCTCTGGAGGGCTACAAAGGTCACACCGCATAGAACAAACCCCATAGCTTGAGTTGCCACTCATCTTACACCCACTTCTCTTCTGGTTGCTTTTGCTTTGTCTTGGCAGGAGTTCAAAGAAGGACGCAGAGCCAGCCACACAGCCCCACAGGTCCTCTTTAGCCACAGGGAACCTCCTCTGGAGCTGAAAGACACGGACGCCGCTGTGGGTGACAACATTGGCTACATCACCTTTGGTGAGCAGGGTGCACTTGCTGCTTGCATGCCGCTTTAATGAGTTCACACAGAATACCTAAATCTGCACAGAACCTTGGTTAACATTTTAAGGTAGGCAAAAGCAGGCGTACCAAGTTGTTCCTGTTGCCATTGCTGTGACTAAAGGAGGGATGTCACAGGGTATTAATCACAGAGCATGCCATATGCTATTTTTGTACAGTAATCATTTCCTTTATTTTTTTCCCCGTTTTTCTTAAATCTTAAAAATAAGACTGAATTCTGATATCAAGAGTTAAGGTCCCTTCGGTAGCTCAGCTGGTGGAGTGGAGGACTGTAGCTACTTCCTCAGTAGGAGATGTCCTTAGGTCACTGGTTTGATTCCAGCTTGAAGGAGTACAAGTACAGTTTTGGCCAGGCATGGTGGCTCACGGCTGTAATCCCAGCACTTTGGGAAGCCAAGGCAGGCGAATCACAAGGTCAGGAGATCGAGACCATCCTGGCCAACATGGTGAAACTCTGTCTCTACTAAAATACAAAAAAAAAAATTAGCTGGGCATGGTGGCACACGCCTGTAGTCCCAGCTACTTGGGAGGCTAAGACAGGAGAATTGCTTGAACCGGGGAGGCGGAGGTTGCAGTGAGCTGAGATCGCACCACTGCACTCCATCCTGGCAACAGAGCAAGACTCAGTCTCCAAAAAAAAAAAAAGAGTTAAGGAGTCTGGGTACAGTGTCTCACGCCTATAATCCTAACACTGTGGGCAGATCACCTGAGGTCAGGAGTTCGAGACCACCCCGGCCAACATGGTGAAACTCCGTCTCTACCAAAAAAAAAAAAACACAAAAAAAAATTAGCTGGGCGTGGTGGCATGTGCCTGTAATCCCAGCTAGTCGGGAGGCTGAGGCACAAGAATCCCTTGAACCCAGGAGGCAGAGGTTTCAGTGAGCCAAGATCACACCATTGCACTCCAGCCTGGATGACAGAGTGAGACCTTGTCTCAAAAAGAAAAAAAGTTAAGGATAGGCCAGGCACAGTGGCTCATGCCTGTAATCCCAGCACTCTGGGAGCCCGAGGTGGTTGTGTCGCTTGAGTCCAAGAGTTTGGGACCAGCCTGGATAGCATGGCGCAACCTCATCTCTACAAAAAGCCAGGGGCCAGGCACAGCAGCTCACGCCTGTAATCGCAGCACTTTGGGAGGCCAAGGCGAGCAGATCACTTGAGGTCGGGAGTTCAAGACCAACCTGGCCAACATGGTGAACCACATCTCTACTAAAAATAAAAAAATTAGTTGGACATGGTGGCATGTGCCTATAGTCCCAGCTACTTGACCAGGTGAGGCATGAGAATTGCGTAAACCTGGGAGGTGGAGGTTGCAGCAAGCTGAGATCGTCCTGCTGTGCTACAGCCTGGGAGACTGTCTCAAAAAAAAAAAAGATAGCTAGACATGATGTTGCATGACTATAGTCATAGCTACTTGAGAGGCTGAGGTGGGAGGATCACTTGAACCCAGGAGGTCGAGGCTGCAGTGAGCTGTGATGGCACCACTACACTCCAGCCTGGGTGACAGAGTGAGACCCTGTCTTATCAGAAAAAGGAGTTAGGAAGAGAAACCACCTAAGCAGCCAGATGGTGGTTCTCTGTCATTTGGCAATTCTTGGTTTTTTGCTTATTAGGCCCAAGCTCCAGCCATGGTCCACTTACTCCACTTTTCCATGGAGTAAATTCAGGTCTTCCTTCAGTTGCTCCAGCCTCATGCACTGGCTGATTAGGATAGCTTACAGTTTGGAATTAACAGCTCATTCACACTGCACCCGATGCCACTGGAATGTCTCCTTTGTGAAATGTAATTTAATTCACCTCAGTGGTAAAGGTGAGCCTGTTTATTGGTGATGAATCTGTTGATTTACCAAATTTCATTAAATCTAAACAATACACTTTTTTCTTTTTTCTTTCTCTCTGTCACCCAGACTGGAGTGCAGTGGTGTGATCTCGGCTCACTGCAACCTCCGCTTCCCAGGCTCAAACAATTCTCGTGCCTCAGCTTCCCGAGTAGCTGGGACTATAGGCGCATGCCACCACACCCAGCTAATGTTTGTATTTTTAGTAGAAACGGGGTTTCCGGCCGGGTGTGGTGGCTCACGCCAGTAATCCCAGCACTTTGGGAGGCCGAGGCGGGCAGATCACGAGATCAGGAGATCGAGACCATCCTGGCTAACACAGTGAAACCCCGTCTCTACTAAAAATACAAAAACTTAGCCAGGCGTGGTGGCAGGCACCTGTAGTCCCAGCTACTTGGGAGGCTGAGACAGGAGAATGGCGTGAACCTGGGAGGCGGAGCTTGCAATGAGCCGAGATCACGCCACTGCACTCCAGCCTGTGCGACAGAGCAATACTCCGTCTCAAAAACAAAACAAAACAAAACAGGGTTTCCCTATTGGCCAGGCTGATCTCAACTCCTGGCCTCAAGCGATCCACCCACTTCAGTCTCCCAAAGTGCTGGGATTACAGGCATGTGCCACCGCGCCCAGCCAGCTATACCATTTTTTTCAAGTTTTTATCTTTGAAGCTGGGGTGCGTCTTACAATTCATGGCATGTCATAGTTTAATTGGCAGCATTTTTCTCTTGTGGTATATAAAATTATGGCAGACTTAGAGTCATAGCCTCCCAAGTAGCTGAGATTATACAGGCACATGCCATCACATGTGGCTAATTTTTATATTTTTAGTAGAGATGGGGTTTCACCATGTTGCCCAGGCTGGTCTCGAACTCCTGATCTCAGATGATCCACCCACCTCAGCCTCCCAAAGTGCTGGGATTACAGGCGTGAGCCACCGCCCCCGGCCTCACACAGGTCTTTAGGTGGCTGGTGCCACAGGGTTGGACTTCAGTCAGGCCCAGTCAGAGCAGCTCCTCTTGCCTGGCCTATCATGAGGGTTCAGGTCCTTATACCTTATTGTCTGTTTTCACAGTGAGAATATGGGAAATTCTCTGGCATCTATTTTCTGGGAAGGTTTACTCTATTTCAGCACCAAGGACCTAAGACAGGCAGCTGCATTTCCTAATCCTGATTCCTTAAGGTAAACTGTTATAGCCAGTTAGTGTAATCCTGGAGTGTGATCCTGGAGTGTGCCCAGCTGCACAGGCAGGAGCTAGTACATGTGTGGCAGACAGGGAATAGATTTCAAAATGCACAGCTGCAGAATCCAGGACTAGAATGAAGGCCTAGAGTCAAGCCCTGTTTTTCATCATGGGCTCCTCCATTCACGCTCATTGACACCTTTCCTGGCCATGCTGTTTATCCTTCCATGTCAAGAAAAAACCCTGACAAAGCCTGGTAATACTGACACAAGTGGAGGGTACTTCAGCAGAGAGGGAGTGAAGTTCACTAGGCTGTTGTTCTTCCCCACCCTTTGGCATTCGTGTTGGGTCCTAACGCCTTGTGTCTTCCACCTTCAGTGCTGTTCCCTCGTCACACCAATGCCAGCGCTCGAGACAACACCATCAACCTGATCCACACATTCCGGGACTACCTGCACTACCACATCAAGTGCTCTAAGGTGAGGGGGGTGCCAGCATCTCAGCCGCTATGCTCTGGGTCTTTTCCTCCACCAGAACTCATGACAAAAAGTCATTCTGTTAGTCTAGGCTGTGGATATTGACTCTTACGTAGATAATTCTAGAGGCTTCAAGAAACCATGGTCTTTCTTCATCAAGCCACTGTCCCCCACCCCTCCCCGTAGCAGAGATGAATATTTGTTTCCAGAATTGCTCACCTTCCTGCTTTGCTGCAGGGCCTGGGTCAGTCCCAGGGTGTATGTTCCCAAACGCCTCTGATGAAAGCAAAGCTATCTTTCTAGACCGTGACTGTGCTTCAGTACCTGTTATGTTTGTTCCCAGGCCTATATTCACACACGTATGCGGGCAAAAACGTCTGACTTCCTCAAGGTGCTGAACCGCGCACGCCCAGATGCTGAGAAAAAAGAAATGAAAACAATCACGTAAGTTAGGCAGCACTCCAGCAGGACCACCTTCCTCTCCTGAGTCACTGAGAAGGAAGCAGTGGGTGCTGGTGGCCTGGTCCTCCATGTGTCTGGGCACTGGCTACATGTGAGGCCAGCAGGGCTAAGTAGATAAAACAAAGGTGGGATTCCAGGTTTTCAGTGCTGTATAGGCCCAGATGGGTTTCCTTGTTTCCATATCTTTGTGAACTCTGAGAATGGCAGCTAGGAAATAAAGTTTACCAAGAGACTGTTGTTTTTGGGCCTGAGTTACAAGGTCAGTCTTGTGCTTCTGGTGTTCTTTCTGGAGAGATGGAAGAAGTTGCTTAGGGACCTTTAATTGGGTAAATAGTCCTGACGCCGCCCACTAAGCGTTCTTTCCCTGGTGCACTCTCAGCGGGAAGTTTGCATGCAGAGGAAAGTTCTCTTTATCGAGGATAGAATTGAGGAGAGCCCTGATGGGCACAGTGGCTCACGCCTGTAATTCCAGCACTTTGGGAGGCTGAGGCAGGTGGATCACGAGGTCAGGAGTTCAGGCCTAGCCTGGCCAAGATGGTGAAACCACATCTTTACTAAAAATACAAAAAAAATTAGCCGGTCGTGGCAGGCGCCTGTAATCCCAGCTACTCAGGAGGCTGAGGCAGAGAATTGCTTGAGCCCAGGAGACAGAGGTTGCAATCAGCTGAGATTGTGCCACTGCACGCCAGCCTGAGCAACAGTGAGACTTCGTCTCAAAAAAAAAAAAAAAATTTTTTTTTTTTTTTTTTTGAGGAGAGCCCTAAATAGGGGTGTGGCTCTGCATGCAGGAAAGGCGAGCATGGCCTAGAGCCTAGAGAGTTCCGTCTCTGTGAAAGGTGCCAGACCTTGGTTCTTCTGATGAAATTCAGGCAATCCTGTCCTTAAGATACAGTAATGGTGTTCATCTGCTGTTTTTTTGTTTTGTTCGTTTGTTTGTTTGGTGGGGGTAGTTGGGGGAGACAGAGTCTCATTCTGTCACCCAGGCTGGAGTGTAGTCCAGACCTTGGTTCTTCTTCTGATGAAATTCAGGCAATCCTGTCCTTAAGATACAGTAATAGTGTTCATCTGCTGTTTTTTGGTTTTGTTTGTTTGTTTGTTTGTTTGGTGGGGGGAGCTGGGGGAGACAGAGTCTCATTCTGTCGCCCAGGCTGTAGTGTAGTCCAGACCTTGGTTCTTCTTCTGATGAAATTCAGGCAATCCTGTCCTTAAGATAAGGTAATAGTGTTCATCTGCTGTTTTTTTGTTTTGTTTGTTGTTTTTTTGGTGGGGGGAGTTGGGGGAGACAGAGTCTCATTCTGTCGCCCAGGCTGGAGTGTAGTGGCGCAATCTCAGCTCACTGTAACCTCCACCTCCCAGGTAGCTGGGACTACAGGTGCACGCCGCCACGCCCAGCTAATTTTTTGTATTTTAGTGGAGATGGGGTTTCACCATGTTGCCTGGGCTGGTCTCAAACTCGTGATCTCAGTCAATCCGCCCACCTCGGCCTCCCATCTGCTGTGTTTTGTACCAGTTGAACTAAAAGTCTTGAGATCATAAGCCTCCCTAACAGCCAGTGTATTTGCCAGCACCCCGGTACTGTTGGTGTTTGTTTTGTTGTTTTGTTGTTTGTTTTTTGAGATGGAGTTTCGCTCTTGGAGCACAGGCTGGAGTGCAGAGGCACAATCTTAGCTTACTACAACCTCTGCCTCCTGGATTCAAGCAAATTCTCTTGCCTCAGCCTCCACAGCAGCTGGGACTACAGGCTTGCACCACTAAGCCTGGCTAATTTATTTGTATTTTTAGTAGAGTCAGGGTTTCACCATTTTGGCCAGGCTGGTCTTGAACTCCTGACCTCGTGATCCGCCCACTTCAGCTTCCCAAAGTGTTGGGATTACAAGCGTGAGCCACCGCGCCTAGCCCAGTACTCTGTGATCCCCAGCCTGGAGTGCAGTGGTGCAATCTTGCCTCACTGCAGGCTCAACCTCCTGGGCTCAAGCAATCCTCCCACCTCAGCCCCCCAAGTAGCTGGGACCACAGGCGTGCACCATCACAGCTGGCTAATTTTTTAATTTTTGTGGAGACAGGATTTCACCATGTTGTCCAGGCTGGTCTCGAACTCCTGGACTCAAGTGATCCTCCCACTTCAGCCTCCCAAAGTGTTGGAATAACAGACATCAGCCACCGCACCTGGCCCAGCACTCAGTACTCTTGAGGCAAAGTTTTAGTGGGTGTGGTATGCCTAGAGCTTTACACTCTCTCTCTTGCATTTGAGGGCTCTTCTACCAAGTTAGTTTCTGCTGCCATTTGAAAGGATGAGAAAGAGATCCAAGGACCTGAGCAGTAGGTGAGGGTTTTCAGACATCCTCAAAATGCAGTTTAAGGCAGGGTGTGGTGGCTCACCCTTGTAATCCCAGCACTTTGGGAGGCCGAGGCGGGCGGATTACCTGAGGTCAGGAGTTGGAGACCAGCCTGACCAACACGGAGAAACCCCATCTCTACTAAAAATACAAAATTAGCTGGGCATGGTGGTGCATGCCTGTAATCCCAGCTACTCTGGAGGCTGAGGCAGGAGAATCGCTTGAACCCAGGAGGCAGAGGTTGCGGCGACTGAGATTGCACCATTGCACTCCAGCCTGGGCAACAAGAGCGAAACTCGGTCTCAAAAAAAAAAGAAAAAAAGCAGTTTAAGTCACCCCAACTTCTTTAGGTAAAGGCCTGTCTCTGTAGCAGTTCAGAGAAGAGTGTCCAAATGCCATGCAATGAAATAGCAGCATCGTTTCTTTTCTGCAGCTTCTTGGGCAGATCCTTAAATGGGCAAAGTAACCAACAAGGTGGGTGGGCAGGTGAGAGGATGTGCTCTTGCTGCTCCTCCAGAACCTGGTCTCCATCCTGGTGTCTGCATTTTCCCCTTTCCCTGCTTGCTCTACGCAGGAGTGCTTTTCTCATCAGGTACTTGTTTGGTGACCTGGAGTGTGAGGCAGCGAATTTCATGCTGCTTTCAGGGCCCAGTAGACAGGCAGTTGAGTAGAGGCCAAGAGGTAAACTGGCAGCAAGGTACAGTGAGAGGGAAGCCTAACCTGGCAGCCTGTGGTAACTGGACTGGAAGGCTGGGCATCATAATAGTCTCGGGGCTGCCGGCATCACCTTTGGCACTGGTAGCTGCTTGTGCATCCAGGAGGAAGGCCTTTCAGGCAGCTGCTGCCCGATTCCACAGCCAGCAGGCAGTCTTGGGAGTCCCTGCCCAGTGAGTGCAGTTGTGTAGCGGGCAGGGATAGCTTCCTGTCCTGGTGAGAGACCCAGGAAAGGATGAATCCTTGAAATGAACAGACTGTATATAAGTCTCCTCTCTGGGACTTAGAAAGAGCAACTTTGCCTTCTTCTGTGCTGCAGCTTCTCTTTGGCAGAGTTGGGCCCCAGAAAGGAGAAGCAGGAGACAAACAGCTACATCCACCCTGAAAACCAGATTATGTTACTAATGGTGGGTAGGAGTTAAGTGACTCAGCTGTGGGCAGAAGCCAGGAACTCTCGATGGGCTGCCCAGAATTGAACACTCATGAGCTTTTCATTTGGAGAGAAGGATAATAAGGTGTAGCTTCATTTTGGAATGAGTGATACATCCAAGGCAGGGAAAATGTAGAGCCCGTGTTTTTGCCCTGATTTCCCATAGTTCTCAGCTCTAGCTTCCAGGCTGCTTTCCCAGATGCTGTTAGGTACCAGTTAGAGGCTCTGTCCTTGAGGACCACCTAGCCCGTCTGGAGAAGTATTGGGTGGAACAGGACACCACAATTCAGGAGCCTCGAACCAGGCGGGTGTTGTATAAGCCAGAGGAGGAGTCACCACGTGATAGCAGAAATACCTTTAGCCTTGGAAGTTCTGAGGATTGCTTTGAACCAGCCACCTGCCTTCATGGTGAGAGATGAAGGAACTGCTATCTGGGAACCCTGAGAGGTATATGCTGTGTAGGAGGAGCTGACAAATGAGGTAGTACTAAGACAATGGTTGAGCCTAGTCAGAAATTCAGGTACATCTAGGCCATCCAGAAATTATGGACAAGTGATTCTTCTATCTAACTTGGTACATTGAATGTCCTTATGGGCTTAACACTGATATTCCTGGGCATCCGAAGTATCCAATAGGAAGGAAGAGCTGGTGAAACCGTTCTGTGAAAGCCAGATTTTAGCCCATGTCCTGTGGTTCCAGTGCCTCTGCTTAAGGAATCTAGCCCTTTCCACCTTTCATTTGGTGTTTCTTTGGGATCCCATCTAGTCTAGGAGTGTGGGATGGGAGGAAAGGGCAGCCAGAAACTGACCTTCGCACTTATCTCTCCTTTTGAAGGGGGAAGACGTTTTCATCCCGCTAATCTTGGGAATAAGAGGAGGAAGCGGCTGGCAACTGAAGTCTGGAACACTTGCTACTGGATAATCGTAGCTTTTAATGTTGCACCTCTTCAGGTTCTTAAGGGATTCTCCGTTTTGGTTCCATTTTGTACACGTTTGGAAAATAATCTGCAGAAACGAGCTGTGCTTGCAAAGACTTCATAGTTCCCAAGAATTTAAAAAAAAAAAAAAAAAAGAATTCCACTTGATCAACTTAATTCCTTTTCTTTATCTTCCCTCCCTCACTTCCCTTTTCTCCTACCCTCTTTTCCAAGCTGTTTCGCTTTGCAATATGTTACTGGTAATGAGTTGAAGGATAATGCAATCCTAACTTGTTTTCTCCTAAGTATTTGAGTTCAAAACTCCTGTATCTAAAGAAATACGGTTGGGGTCATTAATAAAGAAAATCTTTCTATCTTACATGAGAATTTACTGGGTTTCTGGACTGCGGGTCCAAAGTGAGAAGAGAAGGAAGGAAGAAGTATAGACCTATACTGCCCTTGAACCTGCAAACCTAAGCTGGGAAGCCCTAGTTTCAGGAGCCCATCAGGTTTAGGTCCTCACTTCCTCTAGAGGAGAGAATGGCTGGCCAGTGAACTATATTTAAACTCCTCCCCTCCCGACCGGGAGACAGGGTCTCGTTGCCTCCTGAGCTCAGGTGATCCTCCCACCTCAGCCTCCCAAGTAGCTGGGATTACAGGCGCATACCACTATGCCTGGCTAATTTTTTATATTTTTAGTAGAGATGAGGTTTCGCCATCTTTCCCAGGCTGGTCTCAAACTCCTGGACTCAGGCAATCTGCTTGCCTCAGCCTCTCAAAGTGCTGGGATTATAGGCATGAGCCATGGAACCCGAGCTATTAATACAAACTTACATGCTTCCTTGTAAAGCTTGGTCCCTGAGACTCTGTGGCTGTTCCTGAAGCTCCCTGGACAGTGACAGACAAAGGGTTTTCTGGTTTTTTTTATTGTGAATAATGTGTGGGATTTCCCAAAATGTGTTCCTTAGTGTGTGGTCCTGCAGGGCATTGATGGTTATTCAGGTGTATGTCTGATGCAAACTAACTGGCCGCAGTTTGTCTTTCTCACATGGCAGCCCAAAAGACTGCTTTCAGGGAGAGAAGTTGTCAAAAACAGTACAGAGCCTAGTCGAGCAGCTGTCCCTCAGCAGGACTCTGGTCCTTGAAATGAAATTGCTTCAGAAAGTTTGCTTGGTGTAAGGAATTAAGAGAATTTTAAGGGCATCTGCAATGGTCTGATGGTCATTCTAATGGTTTCTGCCTTCCATCTATGGCAGTGTGTTTCATACTGGCTTGGGACCCATTAATTGTGACATAACCTGACTATATCACAACCAGCATTTTTGTTTTCTAAACTTTTGATTTTGAGATAATTAGATTTAAATATGGTTGTAAGAAACAATACAGAGAGATCCTGTATACCTTCCACTTGGTTTCCCCGCCATGCTAACATCTTGTATAATTGTTGTGTAGCATCACAGCCAAGAAAAGGTCATTGATATAGTCCACCCACCTTCTTCAGATTTGCTGCACTGTATGTGGTGTACATCTGTGCATTGTTGTCATATGTGTAGCTTTATGTGACACCAGCATTTTTAAGCAATTGAATAGTATCAGAGTGCATCGCATCTATTAAGGGTAAGTGTTGGCTGGGCGTGGTGGCTCAAGCCTGTAATCCCAGCACTTTGGGAGGCCGAGACGGGCGGATCACGAGGTCAGGAGATCGAGACCATCCTGGCTAACACAATGAAACCCCGTCTCTACTAAAAATACAAAAAAATTAGCCGGGCGTGGTGGCGGCGCCTGTAGTCCCAGCTACTTGGGAGGCTGAGGCAGGAGAATGGCGGGAACCCGGGAGGCGGAGCTTGCAGTGAGCCGAGATCGCGCCACTGCACTCCAGCCTGGGCGACAGAGCGAGACTCCGCCTCAAAAAAAAAAAAAAAAAGGGTAAGTGTTGGTTTGGAAATGTATATTAGTTACATATGCACATCATGACTGGATTATAGAAATGTCTTTTGACTGTGAGTCACAGTGGAGAATTTTGAAAACCACAGGTCGTTCAGTCATCAGACTTCGTTTTTATTTCACTAAAATGGGCTGCTAGAGAGCTCAGGGTACTCTGATAGTTCTAATTGGCTGCTCAGGGTGCCCCTGACCACTTGTGGTACTTGGAAAACCTAGATTAATTGGATATATTGACAGCAACGTATGCATTCTCTACCTCATGAGTTATTTAAGGGGTTGTCAGGTGTAATTTTGACTAGAAACTGTTTTTGCTCTTTTTTTTTATTTTAATTTTAGTTTTTAGAGACAGGGTCTCACTGTGTTGCTGAGGCTGTACTCAAGCTCCTGACCTCCGGAGTAGCTGGGACTATAGGCACCTGCCACCATGTCCAGCTGAGTTTTTGCTTTCTTCCTTAGTAGAACATAACTAATGTTGGAGCTCACTGTACTCTCTTGCCAGTAGCAGGAATCCGATTTCTGGTAGGTACTGTAGATGGCAGAACCAAGGTTGCTTAGAAGATATGGAGTTAGGAGAAAAATGAAAAGGCATAAATATTTTCTACAGCAGTAAATCCTAAGGAAGTAACTAGTTCCAAGATGCTTTGTCAACATTAAAAATCCGTAGTGCAGGCTGAGCACAGTGGCTTACACCTGTAATTGTAGCACTTTGTGAGGATGAGGAAGGAAGACTGCTTGAGCCCAGGAGTTCAAGACCAGCCTGGGTAACAGTGAGACTCCTTCTCCATCTCTATAAAAAACTTAATCTGGCCGGGCGTGGTGGCTTACACCTGTAATCCCAGCACTTTGGGAGGCCAAGGCGGCTGAATCACCTGAGGTCAGGTTGAGACCAGCCTGGCCAACAAGGTGCAACCCCATCTCTACTAAAAATACAAAAATTAGCTGGGCATGGTGGCGGGTGCTTGTAATCCCAGCTACTCTGGAGGCAGAGACAGGAGAATCACTTGAACCCAGGAGGCGGAGGTTGCAGTGAACCACGATCATGCCATTGCACTCCAGCTTGGGCGACAAGAGCGAAACTCTCCAATAAATAATCTCACCAATAAATAAATCTGTAGTGCAGCCTGGACAACATGGCGAGACCCTGCCTCTACAAAAAATAAAAATTGGCTGGATGTGGTGGTGCATGCCTGTGGTCCCAGCTACTCGAGGCTGAGGCAGGAGGATTGCTTGAGCCCTGAAGGTCAAGCCTGCAATGAGCTGTGTGTGCCTCTCTACTCCACCCTGGGCAACAGAGTGAGACCCGGTCTCAGAAAAAAAAAATCCATACTGGTGTAAACCCCTGTCCAGATTGACTCTTCTCTTAACAAGGACACACTTGGTGTTAGTACGGATCTAGCCTCAAAGACCCTCCTCACAGATGAAGCAGCCCACTGTGACCAGTTGAGGCCTTAGGACTGCAGGAAGAACGTCTGAGGATGAGGGTCGAGCACACTGAGAGTGTGGGCTGGGAAAAGGGGATCTAGTTATTTCTTCCTAGTCTCAGGAAGCCAGTGCCCCAAGGGTTCACACCTGGGAGGTGCAAGTGTCCTTGGATATGGGCTGTAGAAGAACAGTTTGAATCCAGGTTCCGCCATCCAATAGCTGTGTGACAGCAAATCTCTTAATCTGAGCCCTGGTAACCTCATTTAAATTGGACATTTACCCGAGGATTTGTAAAAGGAAAAGAATAAATATCTCTTAAATGGTAAGCATTATGATGCCTGTAATTATAATGTCACTTAATGAATCTTGGTTCCCTTTATACACCCAAGGGGATCAGAAGCAACAGGCTGCTGCCCCAGCAAAGTCCCGCAGAAGCCAACCCTCATTCGGTGCTTGGGGTTTCCTAGGCTTTCCCCAAGGTCGTTGGTATTTTGGTATTTTCCCCAGCTTGAGTGGCCCTTACTGCCCGGGCAAGGCAGGTAGGAATCTCCATGTCTGAAAAAAGTGGGACCTGGGGCAAGCTGCAAGCCAAAAATTAGGAGCTTGGCAGGAAAGACACTAAGACTAACAGGAAGTGGAAGGGTGGACTTGGAGGAGGAATTGAAACCAAGAAAAGGAAATAGCTCTAGCTGCTGCCTCAGCCTTCTTGGGGGGAGCCGTTACTTGGAGTTGTTTGCCATTAAGTTACCCTCATTTGGAGTAGTACTGATGGGTGCTCAACCGGAACCTGGGTCTACTCTGATGGCGATTTTGAGTTCAAGCAATGCTGCCCCCTACTGGGGGTTGCTAAAAGCACTGCCATTTCTGGGCGGCGGGGGGAGGTTTGTTTTTGGTTTTTGTTTCTTTTGTTTTTTTTTTTTTTTGGGACAGAGTCTCACTCTGTTGCCCAGGCTGGAGTGCAGTGGCACGATCTTGGCTCACTGCAACCTCCGCCTCCCGGGTTCAAGCAGTTCTCCTGCCTCAGCCTCCTAAGTAGCTGGGCCTACAGGCACATGCCACCACGCCCGGCTAATTTTTTGTATTTTTAGTAGAGACAGGGTTTCACTGTGTTAGCCAGGATGGTCTGCATCTCCTGACCTTGTGATCCACCCGCCTCGGCCTCCCAAAGTGCTGGGATTACAGGCATGATCCACTGCGCCTGGCTCTAATTTTTTTTTTTAAGTATTATTTTGAGGCAGGGTCTCACGCTGTGACCCAGGCTGGAATGAAGTGGCGCCATGAAGGCTCACGGCAGCCTCGACCTCCTGGACTCCAGCGATCTTCCCACCTCAGCCTCCTGAGTAGCTGGAACCACACAACATATACCACTGTGCTCAGCTAATCTTTATTTTTTGTAGAGACGGAGTCTCACCACGTTGCCCAGGCCTCGGCCTCTTAAAGTGCGGGGATTACAGGCATGAGTGTGAAGTGTTAAACAGCGGCTCAGGGAGGCCAACCAGGGTCCAAGAAACCCCATCCCTGCTGCCTCCACTGGTCCAGAGCTAGTACCCCCAGCCAGCATGACACTCATGTCCCAGACATTGTGGGTCAACAGAAATTCAGATAGCTAAGAGAATGGAAACGGACAAAGGAGGCACAGGAGGATTCCGTGCCAGAGTCTGGATTGGTCACCCCCGTTCAGGTTCTGTCTGAGGAAAGGAGAATGGGGTCCGGGCACAGTCGGCTGGATGGAGCATCTGAAGACGGCTTGCACCAGAGCCCTCGTAGCTGAAGGAAGAAACCAGGGGGTGAGTCAGCCCCAGGGCTTGATGGAACAGGCAGGAACTAGATGATCTAGTAAGGGAGAAGCAAGGCTGAGCAAGAGACAGCCCAGGCTCCCTGGCTGCCACTGCCTAATCTGTCCCCCTTCACACATCCCACACACAGTGTTTAGACAGAACAGCAGAGAAGAAACAGACATCCTGGATCCCGCGGGGAGCAGGCCGGGGCTGGGAACAGGAGGTCTGTTTATTCCTGGCAGTCCCATATCAGAAGGGTCCCACACCCACTTCTGTCCAGGCCCCAAGCTGAACTCTCCCAGAGCCTGTGACTTCTGCCCTACCATATCGCGTGGTTCTGAGGGCCGGCCCTGGAACCCTGCATCCTCCCCACCCACCAGCTCCCTCGAGGATGGATTTGAGGCAGGATGCTTTCGTCTTCCCACTTTTTGTCCCAACAGAAGTCCCTCCTCTTCAGGATCCCTGACTGACTGTGCAGAGCTGGCAGAGCCACACTCCGCGGACCTCCAGCCCTTCAGGCCCAGCTCTCCTGGAGAGCACGGAAGTCCCTTTGCTCCATTTACTTTTTCAGCCAGGAAGTGTTTCCTAATGTCTCACCCCCAGCGCCAGCTTTCCTGCTGCAGTTTCCGCCTGTTCCCTCCCATTTCAGGCCTTAAGGGAGTGTGGCTGGGCTTCTCTCCTCCCCCTCACTCCAAAGCCATACTTGATACAAGGTGGAAATCGAGGCACCACTCCTCCTGGCTTCCCAGCCTTGAACTTGCCCTTCCCTCTCAGTGTACCTGGTTTCCTCAGTTTCCCTGTGCAGCAAAAGTGTCACTCCCCTCTTGCTTTTCCTAAGCTCCCCATGTGCCTCTCTCAGCAGATCTGTCTTAGAGGGGCCAGGTGCAGAGAAAAGCAAAAATCCTAATAATGTTCCTAGCGATCGCTGCCTGTCACGGAGTGCTGAAGGACCAAGTGCTGATCTGAGTCCTCATCACACGGGACCTCATTTAGTCTCACGATAGGTGAGTACAACTATGGGCCCCATTTTACAGATGAGGAAACTAAGGCAAGAGAACTTTAGTCATTTGCCAAGTTCACCAGCTTTTAAAAGGATCCGGACAGCTCTGATTCCAGCGCCAGCTCATGCCTCTTCATTGTGGGGGAGGAAAGAGGGAGTCGTTTGTTGGAGCAAACCCCCACCCATCAAGGGCCAAGCCACTGGCGTATATGCAGCCATATGTGTTATGCTGTGGTATGCCCCACCACGACCTTAATTAGAGGTCGTTTTTCTTGTTCCCATTTTAACACAGACAAAAACCGAGGCCCAGTAGTACCTTACCCAAGGTCACATGCCCAGAGCCATTTGTCCCTCATAGTTCAGAACTTAGAAAGCAGTTGAGAAAAGTATGGAATGACCCCAGATTCAAGAAGGTAAGTCTGGCCTTATAAACTGAAAGGCCCATCAGGCGATGGGATGGGGAAGTGAAGATCCTCAGGCCCCAAACACCCGCCACTGCTGCCATCACACACGGAAGTGTGGAGGGAGCCTGGTGTACTGTCAACTGACCGGCCAGTCCAGGGGCTTAAATGTAAATGCATCAGCTGAGGCGGGAAGTCAGGAGGGGTAAGTCAATCACTATTATTCATTAACTGGAATGCATTTCTCAGATTACTCCAAGCTGGAGTAGGGAAACTGCCACCTAGGTGGCAGGGCAGAGGGACACTGGGTGGGAGGGGGAGGCAGGCCTCCCAGTTGCTGCGGTTCAGAATATGCCAGGTCCCACCTCCCAGAGGCGGGGCCGGGGCTGAGTCCCGCCAGCCCCGTTTCTCCATCCCTCTGAGAACCCAGACGGGCAGAGCCTGGGTAGGAGAGCCTGGCCCCCTGTCTCCACCGGGTGGAGACACCATGCACTTGGTCCACTTGTGCTCTTCAGCCAGGACACCAGACATGGTCCAAACCCCTGCAGGGCTGGCTGCAGCAACTCCCTGACACTCAGGAAGGCCCAGGCTGGGCAGGCAATACCTGCTCCCAACAGCCATGTGAGTAGCTACTCCCCCAACCCCCAACCCCCAGATCCTGGAGAGGCCACTGCACCCAGCCCAAGCCACCAGACCCTCGGGGGTGTGCAGGTGGTACAGCCTGCACCCTGCTGGGAAATCACCCCTAGGGGCTGCTCCCTGCCTTTGTCACTGTTCTGGTGGAGGTGGGGTGGGGGGAATCATTCCGATTAGGGCTGGGAGCTCCAGCTTAGGCCAGGTTTGGGGTAATGAACCCTGAGTCTCGCGGGGCTTGAGAGAGTTGATGGTGCTAGGGGGAAGGGAAGAGAAACTGGAAGGCCTCTAGAGAGGAAAAGACATCCTGGGTGGAGGGCACTGGAGGAGACTGAGGAAGAGAAAACACGCTTAGGGGAGGGGAAAGGGGGCACAAGGCCTTGGAGGCCCGAGTTCGGGGTGCTGGGGGAACCTGGGAAGGAAGGGGAGCATCTTCCTTCCTCTCAGCTCAGGGTGGCCATGGGGCCCTGATCCCCTGTCCTGGAGGAGGGGAGAGGTATGAATCCTTTCCTTATTGACTTGGATCCTAGCAACAGCAGCTGCTCCCCTGTTGACAGAAGCAGGAGTTCCCACAGGACCCAGGACCCCTCCCCCGTCCCCAGGATGTGGCAGCAGAGCCATGACACTGGAGGACTGAGACCAGGGAATGACGGGAAGGACAGGGACAGATGAGAGCCACAGAGAAGCCAGGCTTTGCCCACTGACTCCTCTTCCCTCTCCTCTGGGCTCAGCCTCAGGCCTGGGGGTGTTGGGGAGTCCCTGTCCTTGCTGCTGGCATCTCCATGTTCACTGCCACAGGTCCCCTCCTGCTGCTTCTCTCCTCCCTCCAGCTCCCAGGAAGGACCCTGTTGCTAGTGTGGAGCAAAGACGAGTCAAGTTTATGGGCTGGAAGTCCTACCCGGAGGCTGCTCACTGAGCTGTGATGGCTACAAGGACAGATAGGGGGAAGGGCACAGGGTGCCCGAGACCTGGCCCACTGGAGCCTGTCACCTAATGGCCGGCCGGAAGACCACTACACACCAGCCAGCCCTGGTCCATTCTTTTGGCTCATTTAGGGGCCTCCCCGGTGGAGGCAGGGATACACAAAATGCTTTGGGGCTGGATGGACCCGCCTTTCAGTCTAAACAAGAGACCTAAACACAGCCGCCCAGAAAAGGCAGATACCAGAAATGGATAAAGCTGGCTGGGTGGGGACTGTCGGAAGGGCAGCCAGCGGTGAGCTCCGGCTGGTTGCTACCATATAGGACATATGTGTTGCCAGACCTGATTTTTCAATAGAAACCAAAGATAGTTTTTTATATAAATGTTTAATTGGCAATTATGAAAAATTCTGTGTATCAGCGAACATAATACAGCCCACAGCCTGCGGGTCTGTGCCCCTGGACTAACATGCCGCCCTGCCAGGAGGACACGACCTGCAGCCCCATCCTAACTCTGGCCACCCCATCCTGCAGGCATGCCGGCTGCCACTCCAGGACTCCCCCGTCCTCAGGACCGAGATGACGCCCAACAGCACTGGCGAGGTGCCCAGCCCCATTCCCAAGGGGGTTCTGGGGCTCTCCCTGGCCCTGGCAAGCCTCATCGTCACGGCGAACCTGCTGCTAGCCCTGGGCATTGCCTGGGACCGCCACCTGCGCAGCCCGCCTGCTGGCTGCTTCTTCCTGAGCCTGCTGCTGGCTGGGCTGCTCACGGGTCTGGCATTGCCCACGTTGCCAGGGCTGTGGAACCAGAGTCGCCGGGGTTACTGGTCCTGCCTCCTCCTCTACTTGGCTCCCAACTTCTCCTTCCTCTCCCTGCTCGCCAACCTCCTGCTGGTGCATGGGGAGCGCTACATAGCAGTCCTGAGGCCACTCCAGCCCCCTGGGAGCACTCGGCTGGCCCTGCTCCTCACCTGGGCTGGCCCCCTGCTCTTTGCCAGTCTGCCCGCTCTGGGGTGGAACCACTGGACCCCTGGTGCCAACTGCAGCTCCCAGACTATCTTCCCAGCCCCCTACCTCTACCTCGAAGTCTATGGGCTTCTGCTGCCCGCTGTGGGTGCTACTGCCCTCCTCTCTGTCCGCGTGCTGGTCACTGCCCACCGCCAGCTGCAGGACATCCGCCGGTTGGAGCGGGCAGTGTGCCGCAATGAGCCCTCGGCCCTGGCCCGGGCCCTTACCTGGAGGCAGGCAAGGGCTCAGGCTGGAGCCATGCTGCTCTTCGGGCTGTGCTGGGGGCCCTACGTGGCCACACTGCTCCTCTCAGTCCTGGCCTATGAGCAGCGCCCACCCCTGGGGCCTGGGACTCTGTTGTCCCTCATCTCCCTGGGAAGTGCCAGTGCAGCGGCAGTGCCCGTGGCCATGGGGCTGGGCGATCAGCGCTACACAGCTCCCTGGAGGGCAGCCGCCCAAAGATGCCTGCAGGGGCTGCGGGGAAGAGCCTCCCGGGACAGTCCCGGCCCCAGCACTGCCTACCACCCAAGCAGCCAAAGCAGCGTCGACCTGGACTTGAACTAAAGGAAGGGCCTCTGCTGACTCCTACCAGAGCATCCATCCAGCTCAGCCACCCAGCCTGTCTCCACTGGGCCCCACTTCTCTGGATCAGAGACCCTGCCTCTATTTGACCCCACACTGACTGAATAAAGCTCCTCTGGCTGTTTATGCTTATCTCATTCCGTATTTCAGGGCGAGGCAGGAGGAAACGGCTCAACACACCAACAACAGAAAGAACCTACAGACATACGCATGGATTAAGGCAGAGTCGACTCCAGGCAGACAAGAAGTGTCGTGTGCACAGACCCTGGAGACAGGGAGCTGGCATATCTCAACATCCAGGCAACTCTGCGGGAGAGCCTTGCCCTGACGGGGCCCTAGCTAGCTCCTCCTAGGGTCCAGCCACCACAAAATCCACACAGACGCTGTCTCTGGGAAGTATATTTTATTTACATTTTTAAAATCTTTAACTAGTATCTCTTCCTCCTTTCCACCCCCACAGACTTGGGAAGGGAAAGAACGGGAACCTCAAACACCTACTCCCCACGTACAAATACACACCCCATGGCTCACACCAGCAAATGAAAGTGAAAGAGAAACAGGTCTGCCCCTCCCTCTGAAGGGCCCACCAAGTCTGGGCAAGGGTGGGAGGGCCCTGGGCTGGGTCTCTAAAGAGAAGAAAAGGAGAGGGGAGCAAGTCAGTTGAAGAGGCTGGAAAGTCATCCAGGGTCCCACCCTCCTCTTCCCTCTGTGCCCTACTGCCTCTGCTGGCGGGTGGGGGCAGGGGTCCCTTCGTCCCCTCAACACCAGACACACAGGCAGGGGCTGCAGCCATTAACGGTCAGGCCTCTGGACACAAAATACTTTCGCTTTGTGGTCTCCTGACGTGGTCACCACCAGGGAGGCATCTCTATAAACAGAAAGCATGTGATTGCAGAGACGGGGGGACCCAAGCCCTCCACCCAGGGGCCCTAGGGTGGGCTCCTCCAGCACACCCTCAGTTCTAGGGCCCTAGTGCCCAGCACTGGGCCGACATCTCTGCAGCCAGCATGGAGGGAATTAGAAGAAGCCCCCAGCACGGGAGAAGCAGAGCTGACTCCGATGGGGAAAATCAGTCTCAGCCTCTCCCTCATGACTGAGATGTGGGGCCCCGGAGGGTCACTATCAGTCACTGGGGTGGGGGCGGGGCTGTGAACCCTCAGGCTTCCCAGCATCCCTGCCTTAGGAATCCCCTCCCACACCCCAAGGATCCTGTGTCCCCCACTACTCCCACCTTCCAAATAAGAGATCCCAGCCCTTGGCCAATTCACTTACTTGCTGAGGGCAAAGTCCAGGATCTCAGCCGTGTGGCCCCGGTAGTCAGTAAGCAGGCGGCCGGTCCGGGCGTCCCAGAGGCGCACAATGCCATCCAGGCTGCAGGTATAAACCACAGCAGTGCCTGCCTCCCACAGCAGCTGCACGATGCCCGACTGCCTCGAGGAATGACAGAGGCAGGGCAGAGGTTGGCAGGAGAGCTGAGAGCCATCTGCTCCCAGTTCTCACAAAGAGGGACAGCCACACACAACAGCCAGGCAGGAGCCAGATCTGGGGTAGATGCTCCTGGAGGCCTGGGTTTTCCCTCCACCATGGCCACAGCCCCCACAACCCCAGCTCCAGCTGCCCGTACCTGGTGCTGACACTGATGCCTAAGAGTCTGCGTAGCCAGGTCATAGATGGCCAACGTCCCATCCAGGTAGCCAACAGCTGCCAGGGGCATCCTGGGCAGAGGAGCGCACCATGAAGACTCATGAGGGCCTGGACTCACACGCCCTGCCCTCCCTCCAGGGCCCCGAGCCCAGGCTCCTCCCACAAACCCCTCTCCCCATCCTCACTCACACACTGCAGAAGCCCAAGGACTCCACCGAGTTGGACTCACTCTCCTCCCCTTCTCCAAGGCTGGGCTGGGAGGCCACAGTCTCAGGTCTAAAAACACCCACCACCTGAAAGCCAGAGAGGATCAGAGGAGGGCCCGGAATCCGGGTGCTTGATGGAGAGAAAGACGGTGGGGAGAGGAGACAGTGAAGACCCAGGAAGGAAGGAGAGGAGTCGAGAAAGCGGAGGCCCCAGCCGGGCTCCAGGTCAACTCACCTTGCCAGTGGTGGCACTGACCAGCTTGGCCTGGCAGTCCACAGAGCCAGTTAGGATCAAGCTGCCATCCTGGTTGGTGGCAACACAGGTGAGTGGGCCCTGGTGACCCTCAGTCCCTAGCATAGAGCAGGGAGGCAGTCAGGCTTCATCCTACCTCTCCTCTGAGTCCTCCCCCAGGATCTCAGCCCCTCCCGACAAAGGCCCAGGCTAACACTTCCCCACCTCTGATACCTTTCAGTACATGGATGGGGCTTCCCTGCTTCAGGTCCCAAATCCTGATGGTGCCATCTTCGTAGCCTACCACAGCTCTCTTCCCTGAAGAGAGGCACAGATGAAGAGAGGGGAGAGGGCACGCTCAGATACACTAAGCAAGGGAATGGGGAGAGGGAGAGGAAAGAAGAGTGGAAGCGCCCAGACACTGCCCCAGGAATCACAGGTGAGTTCAGAGCAGGAAGGAGGCGCTATGAGCTTTGGGGCCAGGGGGTCAGCACTCCAAAGAGCAGGCCTCAGAGTTTGCCGGCTGTGGCCCAGAAGGCTGCTCCGGGAGGTGTATATCCCGAGATTCAGCCTCTGCACCCAGGAAAGGACACTCAAGGGAGGTGCTCTCACCATCAGGGAGGACTCGGCCACAGGTGGCTGGGCAGTTGGGACCCTGGAAGGTCTTGCAGTCACCATTCGGGACTTTCCACATCCAGGTGTTGCCGTCAGCTGTGCCCGCCAACAGGACAGGTGCCCGAGGATGCCACTCCATCCACTGGACAGGGAGGAAGGGGCAGCAGGGAGGCCCGTCACCCCATCCCACCTAGAAGCCTGTCCTGTGAGCTCCACCCAAGGTTTCCTGCCTCTGGGGTTCCGCGGGGATTTTCCAGGTAGCAGGCAGACCTTCTTCCTGTGCCTTGGGGCGCACTGGCTCAGAGCTGGCTTGGCGCAATAAGGAAGAACTGGCCTCCCAAGCTTGCACTCCCAGCAACCCAAGGCCCCACAGAGCTGACTCCCGCTCTGATGATCTTACCTCCAGGTCTCCCGCTTCAAAGGACCAGACCTCCTCCTTGGTGTCCACCTGCCACACTTTCAAGAGGCCACTCATGTCCCCTGTGGCCACTAGAGTGGAGTCATGGCTGAAACCAGCACAAGTCACAGAGTCTTTATGGCCTTCAAAGAAAAGTGGGCAGAAAGAGGGGAAAACAATAGGGTACCTGGTGCTGGGGGCATGTGATTCTGGTATCTGGCCCCCTGAAACGACCAGCTAGGAAAAAAAGAGGGGCGGGCCTGAGCAGAACAGGTGCTGGAACTCACTGCCGCTCTAGGAACCAACCCTCCCATGTCTCGCCAGGAGAGACACTGCTGGCCGTCACTCAACCAGGCCAAGCCCCAGCCTCCTATGCCTTCCCCCTTCTGTCCACTCTACACCTCTGCCCACAATCCCAAGTCCTCCCCTCTGCCCAACTGCTCCTATACCAGTGTGACCTCCTCTGGCCTTTCCTAGACTCCCTTGGCCAATGAGTGCCTCCTGCCTCTGTGCCCAAAACACACTAGTATTCTCCCCGTGTCCCTGGGGCCCAGCACAGAGCTGGCACAAAAGAGACGTCACTAAGTGGCTATTGGATGCACGACCACTGCAGGCCAGGCTCCTAAGATCTCCCAAAGGAATATGATCTCTCCCAGGCCTCTACCTCAGCCCCCTCACCTGCACACTCAAAGAGCAGCTCCCCATCGCTGAGCCGCCATACGAAGGCCTTGTCATCTTCACCCCCGGTCACTGCCAAGGTGTTGGTCTTGGGGTCCAGGCTCACACAAAACACAGACGCTGTCCCAAGAGATATTCCATGGGTAAGGGGACAGAGCTCCCACCTAGGGCTCTGTCCTTCAGAACCTTCAGGAAACCCACCCCCTTTCACCCAAAGCAATGTGTCTTTCCTCCTGGAAAACACAGGCACATCCAAGTTCTTCTAAGTTTCAAGAATCGGGTTGTTAAGATCCTTCCCATATTTGCCAAGCTCCCTATTTGCCAGAGCAGATCCCCTGTGTGACTCCCCTCACCACCCGGCACCAATGCCATGGACAAGAGGTGGGTACAGGTGCAGGGCTTACAGGTCTCAGCATGGGATGCCACCGGGTTAGGTACAGAGTGAGGAGAGCATCATGTTAAGAGTTTCTTACTAAGAACTAGCACTTGAGAAAATTATATAAAATATGCTCAAAAAGATACAATTATCTCTAATTTTATTTTACTTTACTTTTTTGAGATGGAGTCTTGCTCTGTTGCCCAGGCTGGAGTGCAGTGGCACAATCTCGGGTCAATGCAACCTCCGCTTCCCAGGTTCAAGTGATTCTCCTTCCTCAGCCTCCCGAGTAGCTGGGATTACAGGCACATGCCACCACACTCAGCTAATTTTTTTTTTTTTTTAGTAGAGATGGGGTTTCACCATGTTGGCCAGGCTGGTCTTGAACTCCTGACCTCAGGGGATCCGCCTGCCTTGGCCTTCCAAAATGCTGGGATTACAGGTGTAAACCACCGCACCTGACCAATTATCTCTAATTTTATAATCACTACTTTTATTAACTTTTATCAAAGATACCTTTTTTTTTTTTTTTTTTTTTTTTGAGACACTCTCATTCTGTTGCCCAGGCTGGAGTGCAGTGGCGTGATCTCAGCTCACTGCAACCTCCACCCCCCAGGTTCAAGCGATTCTCCTGCCTAAGTGTCCAGAGTAGCTAGGATTACAGGCATGTGCCACCACGCCCGGCTAATTTTTGGTTTGTTTTTTTTTTTTTTTTTTTTTTTTTTTGAGACAGCCTCGCTCTCTCACCCAGGCTGGAGTGCAATGGCGCAGTCTCGGTCTACTGCAACCTCCGCCTCCTGGGTTCAAGCAATTCTCCTTCTCCTGCCTCAGCCTCCCCAGTAGCTGGGACTACAGGTGCCCACCACCACGCCCAGCTAATTTTTGTATTTTTAGTAGAGATGGGGTTTCACCATATTGGCCAGGCTGGTCTGGAACTCCTGACCTTGCAATCCGCCTGCCTCGGCCTCCCAAAGTGCTGGGATTACAGGCGTGAGCCACCACACCTGGCCAAATTTTTGTATTTTTAGTAGAGACTGGGTTTTGCCATGTTGGCCAGGCTGGTCTCGAACTCCTGACCTCAAGTGATCCACCTGCCTCAGCCTCCTAAAGTGCTGGGATTACAGGAGTGAGCCACCGCACCTGGCCAAAGATAACTTTTTAAAAGAGAACTAAGAGGTTAATCAAGGTTAACTGGCAAAGTAGAGGGAGGACTTGAAGCCTGGTGTCTCAACTGATGCCAGAAGTCAAGCAATCATCCATTCTGCCACAGGTCCCCACCTGTGGGCTCCTCCAGAGCAAGGCCAGCATCTTGCTCATCTCTGTGTCCCCCATAACGCTCTGTCCACGGCGGCTGTTTAATGCTTACACGCCCACCTAAACTGATTTGAGGTGGATCGCCTCAAAGACCTACCTGAGTGCAATGCAAAGGTGACCTCACTATCGTCGGGGCCCTCCATGCTGCCGACCACCCCTTCCTGGGGTTCTAGAACCCAGCCCTCTTCGTTGCCCTCTTCCTCCTCCTCTTCCTCAAAGTCCACATCTTCCATCTCCTGGGCGAGGTCATCTGCTTTGGGGAGAGGGTTAGAAGATGGGGCTCGGGTGGCGGTAAGAGGTACGGAGAGAAGCGTGAGGAGGCCTGAGGCTGGGGCGGGTAATGTGTCGAGAGGGGAAGGTGGAGTCAGACACACCGGGGTCCCGGGGGCGCGCGGGACACAGCACGGGAGGCCAGGGCTGGCCAGCGACCGTGAGGGAAGGGAGGGCCGAGGGGATGATGGGAAGGGGGTGTGTGAGGGGAAGGGCCAGAGGAGGCGTCAGGGAACCCCCACCTCAGCCAGGCCTGAGAACTAAGTCTGAGGAGGGGAGTAGGGGAGGAGGGGAAGAGGGATATCGGTAGGAATGACCGGTCGGGTGTGGAGGGGAGCGAGGAAAAGCAGGGGTCAGAGGCCAGGGGTGAGCGTCTCCTGTCCCATGGCCTGAGGAGCGGCAGTTCTCACCTGGGTCAGGCGGACCGGGATCAAGTTCTACCACCTCGATAATCTCTTCATCACCATGGAAGCTTAGGGTCTCCAGTGGGGGGGTGTCAGCAGCAGCCCCGCTTTCCGATTCGGACTCCATGCGGCGCAAGCGGCCGATCCACTTCTCTGGGCCCAAACGCCTCCCAGAGTCAGCTCTGCGCGACGACGCGGAACTCGAGCCCCTCCTCCCGGGAGGAAGTAGGCGTAGGCGACTCCCCGGCAGGAAGAGCGACGGCCGTTCGGCCAATACCTACGAAGGTTGGCTGGACGCCCCACCAATCACAGAGCGGCATTGGAAGACGGGGCCGGGGCGTGGTAGAGAGAACCCAAACTCCGCCCCACCTGACTCCGCCCCCAACTGGAGGGAAACAAGCGAGCGTGCGCGCCTCCGGGGTCTCCTGGGAAAAGTAGTTCTCCTGGGTCGGCTCTGCGGGCTTCTGGGAGATGTAGTTTCTGGTCTGTAGGCAGGACGGAAGGAGCGGGGGAGGCCCCTTACGCAAACTACAATTCCCGGCGGGGAGCGCGGTGAAGGGGGGCGGGATCTGAACATGGCGGCGGTGGTAGCTGCTACGGCGCTGAAGGGCCGGGGGGCGAGAAATGCCCGCGTCCTCCGGGGTAAGGAGAGGGACCCCGGGGAGGGCAGGACTGCAGAAGATCCCTTTTCTTTCACATCCAGCCTGACGGTAGCAGGAGGTCAGGGCTCTCGGTTCCTGCCCACACTTTTCTGCAAGATCTTAGAGTCTGGGGGTGAAGAGATGCTCTTTAGAGGTCACCCAGTGCATCCCCCCGCCTTTGGGTTGCTCGACACCTCCGGGGTCTTGCTGCGAGAGGGAGCTCCTAGGAAGCCTGTTAGACTCCCGCGCTCCAGGTGTTTCACACTCACCGCAGTGCAGTGGAAAGAGCCCCAGGCTTCTGGAGGCTTGAGTTCCAGCCCCGGATAATTAGCAGTTTGACCTTGGGCAAAGCAGTTTGTCTCTCAGGGCGTCAGTTTCCTCTTCCATACAGTGCAGGGGATGGAGTAGACTATCTTTAAGGTCCCTTCGAGTGCTAACATTTGCAGTTTCAAAACCTTTTCCCGGATTTCCTTCATACGTCTCACGCGAGTCCCACTGCAGTCCTTCCCATCCTGTCGTCTGAGGAAGAACAGCGAAGCTTTTCGTCCTGGCACCAGGGTGATGAGCTCGCAGTGACGTGGAAGTGGCTTCCAAAGGTGCCACCTCGATGGCGATTTTCCCATTTCCCTTTGGATTCTCCCTGGCACTTGTTACTTCAGACTGCAGTCACTCCCCTTCCCCAGATCTCAGCCGTTCTTCCCCAGCCCTTACTGCCCCCCCCCCGCCCCCCACCTCCCCGCTTGCTTTCTTCTCATCTCTTCTTACTGACCTCCCTTACCTCCATCCACAGGCATTCTCGCAGGAGCCACAGCTAACAAGGCTTCCCATAACAGGACCCGGGCACTGCAAAGCCATAGCTCTCCAGAGGGCAAGGAGGAACCTGAACCCCTATCCCCGGAGCTGGAATACATTCCCAGAAAGAGGGGCAAGAACCCCATGAAAGCTGTGGGACTGGCCTGGTGAGTTTTAACCACCGCTTTGCCCACCAACGGGGCGTGGCTTCTAGGGAAGGGCAGGACTCAGAAACTTCTCCAAGTTTCAGGTGGCGAGCTGAATCCAAAGTTGTGGGAACAGAATTGTTGGGTTCGACTGGAATCTGAGATGGGTGGGGCAGGGGAGATGGGAAAGTATGTGGAATTGAGAAGACAGTGGGTTTACTTTGGAGTAAGCTGAGTTGATCTGATTCAGACTTGGGTCCCTGGCCTCATCCTCCCTTTTGGGAGCTTGGAGTGAGACTCAAGTTGAAGTTAAGTAGTTCGCTGAGATCATGTGAGATTGTACTAGTTGTATAGTAGTACTTAGAAGGCGTTATGAACATTGTGATTGGGCTCTGACTCTGACCTTAATACATATTATTGACCAATATTAAAGGGAAAGGAGGAAGAAATCAACTTTTTTCTGCATGTGAGGTGTGCTAGCACTTTGCCATGTAATGTTTCAGGGTTTGAGATAAATATTACATCCCCATTTCACAGAGGAAGGAACTGAGGCTGAGCTAGGATTCTCACCTGGTCTGTGACTCCATGCTCTTTCCCCCACACCAAAGTGCCTCCCAAGCAGTGGTTACTTCGCTTAACTGAGGGAAAAACTGGGAGGGGACCTTGACCAAGTCTCAGAGAGGGAAAGCTTCAGGGCTGCCTGGAAAATCCTGCACAGGTGCTATTGCAGGAATGCACAGCTCGTGCTGAGGATCAGGCTCTAGTGGGGAGGAGGAAAGAGGTAGGCAGAGACCCAGCCACACTGGGCCTTTTGTGCCATGCCTAGGAGTTGGACTTGGCCAGGAAGTGATGGAGCACTATTAAGAGGTGTTAAGCAGGGAAGTGACAGGATCTGATTTGTGTGGGTCCCTCCAGCAGCCAGCACAGAGGACAAATAGACTATAAGAGGTATTGCAGCATTCATGCAATTGATGAAGCTAGAATGACTCCCCCCAGCTCCTCTGGCTCAGGCTTGGCCCCTCCCCAAATCCCGTGCACATCTCCCCACCCGTAGGGCCATCGGCTTCCCTTGTGGTATCCTCCTCTTCATCCTCACCAAGCGGAAAGTGGACAAGGACCGTGTGAAGCAGATGAAGGCTCGGCAGAACATGCGGTTGTCCAACACGGGCGAGTATGAGAGCCAGAGGTTCAGGGCCTCCTCCCAGCGTGCCCCATCCCCTGATGTTGGGTCTGGGGTGCAGACCTGAGGAGTGCTGCGACCCTCCTAGGCTATTGACTGTGACGCCCTCAGGTTCAGCCCGGATTCCAGTTCTTGCCTCTGAGGTCCACCAGAGGGCGCATAAAGCCCAGGCTCCTGCCAAACCCTACCCCGCCCCACACCAAGGAGCCAGCCAAAAGCAAATAAAGTTATTGAGTGTTTAGTGGAAAGGAACCAGGTCTGGGTTTGTGAGTCCCTTGGGATGGGAGGGGCAGAGGGTGGGGCTGGTTACTCATGTGTGCTCCCTCTCCCAGAGCTCAGTGTTCCCAGCTGGATGGTGGGGCAAACCCAGAGACTTAAGTGCAACCAGCCTAGGCCCTGGGCCCTCAGGACCAAGCCCTCAGAGCTGCCGGCCGGGAGGGTGGGGTCCCACTCAGCCTTGAAACAATAAGGAGAATCAAAGAAGGTATTCAGGGTGTGGAGGCAAAAAAAAGCACGGCTCTTTACTGAGTCCAAAGGACTCAACTCTAGGCCTCAGTTTCCTCATTTGTTTTTTTGTTGGGTTGTTTTGTTTTTTGAGACGGAGTCTCGCTCTGTTACCCAGTCTGGAGTGCAGTGGTGTGATCGTCAGCTCACTGCAACCTCCACCTCCTGGGCTCAAGTGATCCTCCTACCTCAGCCTCTTGAGTAGCTGGGACCACAGGTGAGTGCCACCATGCCTAGTTACTTTTTGTGTTTTTATTTTTATTTGTATTATTTATTTATTTATTTATTTATTGAGACAGAGTTTCACTCTTGTTGCCCAGGCTGGAGTACAATGGCATGATCTCAGCTCACTGCAACCTCCACCTTCTGGGTTCAAGCGATCCTCCTGCCTCAGCCTCCAGAGTAGCTGGGATTACAAGCACCCACCGCCACTCCCAGCTAATTTTTGGTTTTTTTTTTTTGTATTTTTAGTAGATTTGGGGTTTCAGCATGTTGGTCTGGCTCGTCTCAAACTCCTGACCTCAGGTGATCCGCCCGTCTCAGCCTGCCGAAGTGCTGGGGTTACAGGTGTGAGCCAACTTGAGGCCCAGTTTCCTCATTTGTAAGAGTTGGGACTGGTGATTTCTAAGACAGGAGTTGACATGGACTGAACCTGCAGTCCATCCCCTCCTCCATCTGCAAAACTGTAGGTATACATACAGCTCTTTGGGGAAGACAGTTAGCTCTCATGAGCTTTTGGAAAGGGTCCATGGTATAGCAAAGGTCAAGCACTACAGCCAAGAGGTCTCTTCCAGATCCAGTGATCCAGTGTGATAGGGTTGAGCTCTCCCTTTCCCCACCCAACTCCTGAGCCTTCACTAGTCTATTGCATCCATCCCTGGGAATTGCTGCGATAGAGTGTATTTAATTACCTTGGAAAAGGTGGGAGAGACCAAGCCAGAATGCAGAAGGAAGAAGTGGATGCTTCGGGCAGAGCCAGACATATTCCTGGAGCCATACAGGGTTTTAACTTCTAGACATAAACTTTATTACATTTATAGTTGTGTCCCTTTGTGTGATATATTTAGGACTAATTACTTAATAGAGAAATCCTAACTATATCCTTAGGCTGATTTGATTTCTGCCCCCACCCGATAGACTGACCCTTGTCCCCCTTCCCCATTCCAGCTCAAGGCACTTAATATTACAAAGAAGGCAGTGGCTGGCTGGAGAGATGGGCCTCAAGTCAGAAATCCCCCAGTGCAACTTAAGACAAACAGAGAGAAGTCACCTTCCTCTTAGGACCGTCCCTGGGTTAGCAGGAGGGAAGAATACAGAAGTCTTCAGTGCCACAGTGGGCTTCAGTCTCTCCCTAACCAGGTGAGGGACCCCCAGGCATTTTCCCTACCCGCACCGAGTCTCTCTTCACCCTGGCTACTTCCTGGCCACACGTATGACTCTGCTCCTTACTTTCTGCTCTGAGCTGCCTGAATACAGGAAGCAAGAGTTCACTCTGACCAGAGATCTCAGAAGCCCGCAAGGAGGCCCCAGCAGCTTTGAAGAATGGGGAGCAGATGGCCATATGTGGCCTGCTCTGTCTTATACCGTCACAAGCCAGCAGCAAGCCCAGGGGAGATGCTGTTCCGTGTTGGCCTGTATAGGTTACTTTGTTCATTCTATTATCTGTCCCCCATCCCTAACCCAGATAAACAATATATATATGTCACTGAAACAAGAAGGGATTGAAGCAAGGAGACCCACAGGCACAGATCTCGTCTACCTTCCTGAGCTAAAAGATGCCAAACCAAAGGAATACAGGATAATGGCCTATGTGTCCAGGACGCCGGGGATAAATCTCTCTGGCTTTGCTGGGGGAAGCAGCAGCTCCAACTGCATAGCCAAGAAGCCTGTGACAGAGGTGGGAGGGGAACCTCGTGACCTTGAAGTCACTTCTACCTTTCATATTCCCTTCTAGCTATCAAATAGGCTCTTTTCATCTTCCTCCCAACCCCAGCTGTTAGGAAGAATGTGGTGTCATATAGTCGGTGGTGGGGAGAAGACACATCTTCAGCCTAGTCCCTGCCAAGCCCACCAAGAGCAACGGTCAGTCCCTAGCTCCTCCATCCCCACCAGGTACCCACACATCCATAGCCAGAGAGGCCACCTGTCTCCAGGACAGAAAGGAAACTGGGCATGTTACTCAAGGGGAAGGAAAGGGGCCTGAAGCCCAGACCACAGTCACAAGGCCCAGCCCTCTAGCTTGGAAGGGAGAGCCCAGGGTCAGGTGAAACAGGGGCTTGCTCCTTAATTGCGATCCCCCATCAGCTGCAGCACAAAGGTGAAGATGTAGATGATGTCTGTGTAAATCTGCAGGGCGCCAGTGATGTAGTCCTCCGGGCTGATGGTGTGCTTCCGGTTCCCTAGGACCAGCTGTGTGTCGTAAGCCAGGAACTGCAAGGATAGGGGAGCCAGAAGTGAGAACTCAGGCATCAGTGTCCAGAGCTCATTTTTGGTCAGCAGATTTGTCCTGGGGGCCTATGCGCCACACAGTGCTTAGGGCCACATTAATGCACAGCATAACATATGGGCTCTATGCTGTAGCCGCTCACAGTCTAGCGAAGGAGGCAGACACACCGTTCTCAATGATATGGCTGACTAGTGTTCTAATAGCGGGCAGCGTCAACAAAAGATGGCGAGAGTGCCCACAAAAATCAGTGGAACCTCTGGACAGTAGTGGGAGGAATGGCCAGCTATGGCCCCATTCCCTGCCTCCCAGGCAGTCTAAATTCATGCCCCCTTCCCTAGGTTCCTCCCCTCATCCCTTCAGCTCCCCTTCCTAGAGTGGGGCTGGGACTTACTCACCAGGGTGAAACAAATGGCCCCCAGAGCAGCATAGAGCATGTGGAGCCAGTAAACCTGGGGAAGAAGGGAACAGGGAATGGCATTAAAAACCTCAGCAAAGCACAGGCCCACAGGCCTCAGCTTCTCCCAGGATAGTGGCGTGACAGTGGGTATAACTAGGGAAACTAGCTCTCCATGAAAGGCTACTGCCTTTCCAGATCCTGGAGGAAATTAAGACTGGTGCTATATCCAGCAGAGAAAGCAGAGGCCATCCTGCCATGGCTGTATAAAACCAATCTCCAAAGCCAGTCAAGGTACACAAGTGTCTACTATACTTCTAGAAAAAAGGCAGTTGAATTACAGTTCTAAAGGGGGCAGATCCAGCACCGCCCCCCGAGTCATGGACAGAATTCAATAGACCAGTTCCTACAGCCCAGCCTGGGAGGGGTAGACTAAGGAAGAAGGGAGGCTCCCCAACCCCTCTGGTGAGTATCAGAATCTGGGAGCACCCACAGGACAGCCCACATGACATGCCCACAGGTGGCCATCCACAGAAGGGCAAAGCTGGCCCATGGGCAGGCAGCCCTCGTGCCCCCATCCTTCCCCTTCGGCACTGTTCTCCCCCTGCTGAATGGAATAAAGGAAATAATTGGATCCAAAGACCCCCAAGGTCCCTTCCACCCAGGCCCACCATCTCAGTCCTCTGGGTTCCTCTCCCAGTCTGCCTCCTAGAACCTGATTCTCAGCTGCCAGGCAGAATGAATCCACCCCTTCCCCTAGGAGTGCAATGATGCAGCCCAGAGCTTCAGGTGCTCTGGCTCCAAGGCCGCCCATCTCCACATAGAGTCTACCCTCACCCACAGGGATGCTGCCTCCACGTTGGTGCCTTTGCTAGCCAGTCTAGAGGTTTTGGAGGTCAGAGCCCGCCCCGGGGGCTTTTGGGGCCTGCGAGACCATACTATATAGAAAGTCTGCTCTGAACACTGGGTTCACTGACCCCAGCTCTCCTGGGACACTCACGTATTTGAAGTACAGCACAATGCTAGTGACAATCCCAGTCACCATAAGCACAATTCCCAGGACACAGAAGAGGCCTGTGCACGAGGTGAAGTCCACCTGCCAGGAAGGGAGGAGGAGGCACCTGTCAGACCGCTGTGACAACCAGTCCAGCCAGACTGGTCCTGCCAGGGAGTCCCAGTGCTGCCTCCTAGGGGACATGGGAGTGCCCACAACATTCTAAGGACAGAAACAGGACACAGTTTTGTAGGTGCAGATGAGGAGAAGGGGATCAGGTCTCTAGGGAACATCCCTGGTGTACAGGGGTCCGGGCCTGCCCAGGCCTGCTCAAGGGCCAGGCCTGATAAGAAAGGGGAGTCGGGGGGGCCAGGGAAGGGCCCTCCATGCCCTCACCTTGGTCTGAAAGCAGAAGATGGTGACTGAAATGGATACCACCGCAGTGATGATCATTGCAATGATGACGGCTTTGGTTTGGTACATACTGGGGAGAAGTAGGAGTTAGAGACAACAGGCATTAAGCCACATATGAATGACTTCAAAATCACCACCTCCAGAGGGCACCTGCCCAGAATCCACCCATGCATCTGGCTGCCGGCCCAGGAACACCCCACTCCCCACAATACACACTTCCCAGGAGTGGTGCTTTACCCCTGAATGTACCTGGAAATGGTACCTGTCATGAAGCCCATGGCAAAAGTCTGAGGGAAGGAGAGAAACAAGAATGAAATGCTTAAAAAGGAAGGCAGGCAGGGTGCTGGGGGAGTGGCCATGGTGGCCTCTGCCAGAGCTGGGGAACGCCACCAAGTTGGAAAGAGGCAGCCACAGAGGAGATCAGAACAGGCAGCCCAGATAAGGTGGGGGACACAGCCAGGACATCATTCTGCAGTGTGTCCCCATCCCTTCCCTGGGACCAGCCTCCCTCACAGCATCTGCACACCCTCCCGCCACCCTTCTAGACTTACAAAAAGGGTCAGCAAGATGATGTTCCATGGGAAACGGCGTCTGAAGGGAAACAGAAGCCCTGATTAAATGACTCGGGGCCCCTCAGGTGTCAGAGGTTCCTGCAGCAGAAGGAAGTGCTTGGCTCCCGGGCCTGGAGGATTAAGCCGTGACTCCAAGGAGGGAGGCTGGCATGGCCTTTGGCACCCGTTCAGGTGTTCTACACAGGCCAGTGGGACAGACCTGTGCTGTGGTGCCAGAAACGCCTGGACTGGTTTGCAGCTCAGGCTCTTACTGACTGCCTGTGTGACGCGGAGAAAGTTACTCAGCCTCTTTGAGCCTCAGGTTCTTCCTATTTGTTAACTGGTTAAAATGCTACCTGTCTTGCAGGGTTGCTATTAGAGTGACAGCTAGTTAGCTCCTGCACACACATGGTCCTTTGTATACACCTGAACAGTAGCTGCCATCATCCTCCTCCTCATTTCTTGTAAGTTTCCATTCAGCTGCTATAAAGGAATCCTTTTTCTTTCCAAAATACTCGGTCCTCATCCCAACCCCTGTCACCCCTCTCACTGTCTTAAGTCTCTGGGACTCACCTAGGTCCCTGGCAGCAGGCAAGGATCAGGTAGGTGACAACGAAGACAGCACTGGGGAGAAAGAGATGGGGAAGCAGTTCAGGCCCAAACCTGCCCCATCTGGCAGCACACACCAGGCCAGTGAGTCGGGGCCCAAACAGCTGTTTGGAAGTCTGAGGGAAAGCAACACAACAGGAAGCAAGAACAAGATTACCCCCAGCCAGGGTCACTGAGATGCTCTGAAGCACCAGGCTCTGGCCAGGAAGGAGGTCTGGGGAGGCTGCAGTTGACGGGCTGAGAGGACATGGGGGCTGCAGCACAGCGTGCATGCCACCACCAGCAGGTCCCACTCTTGCTCTCTTGACTTCTGGCGGTCTGTTACTCATCTGGGCACGCACACCCACACCCTCTGGCATGGGAAACTGGCACCAACTTGGGGGCCCTCCCAAAAAGTATTTTGATCCTGCCCTGAGCAAAGCTGGTCACCTAGAAACAGAAGCCTGCAACCCCTGCCTCCCTGCCCGACCACAGAGGAGCACACACTCACTAGGACACGTAGTAGACAGCCACATTTCTCCTCACAAAGGCGCTGACAGGTTCCCTGTGGGGCAGGGGAGGACAGGAGGAGTCACCCTGAGGCTTGTCTGCCCCACCCAGGCCTGCCAGGCAGCCCTGGCTCCACCTTCTCTAATTGCCCATGGTCACCCTGAGAGCAGGGCCCACGGCCACCCACACTCCCAGCAGGTGACCCTGAACCCCCAGGGCGGCAGGAGTGGGTGGCAAGGCCTAGAGACTTACACAAAGGTGAAGATAGCGATGATGGCCACGGTGATGAGCAGCTGCACGGAGATGATGGAGTAAACCTGGATACAGACGGCCGGGCATGGGTCACCATCTGGCACCCCTGGCCTCCCCCAGGAAGCTGCCAGCCCCCAATCCTTTCCTCCCACTCAAGAACCCTTCCTAGCTGCAGCCTGGCCCAGAGGCGACCCCAGTGAGATGCCTGGCTCAGAGGCTATGTGTCCTCAGCCCCCCTCCCATGCTCCCTGCCATCTCCCCTCCTGTCCAACACCAGCCTCGGTGACTACTGACTTGCCCTGCCTGGCCACCATGCTCTACCAGTACAGCCTCTGCACACCCAGCAGCTCAGTCTGCACATTCTGTGCAGTTATGAGATAGAAAGGGTGGGTTACAAGCGAGTAGGATCATTTCTGGCTCCAAGCTGCCTATAGTCTAAGGGGAGAAAGATGTCTGGGGAAGGTGGGCACTGTGGCACAGCCCACCTAGGAGATTCTCCCAGACTGAATGTGTCCTCCCAAAACATGGTCAAGAAGAGAGGTGCAAAAACAGGGGGAACCTTGGGGTTAGAGAAGCCAGGTGCCCCCCTGAGAAGCAGACAAGGCTAGAGAAGACAGGCAGCCAGCGTATTTCATGGAATTGGTGCCATGGAGCTACTGTGGCCTACCCACTCCCCATTCCCACAGCCTGAAGGGCCCCAGGTACACCCACCTCCCAGTGCGTATCTTACCTTTCGGATAAAAGTGTGTCGCACTTTCCGGTCATCCCACTCTCCAGGCCCGAAGCTATCACTCACCGCTCTCTCCTCCCCATCATAGCCATGGCCTGGGCCTAGGGACAGATGACACTTGACCAGCTAGGGACCTGAGATATGTGGCCTCAATCCCAAAGCCTCCCTGACACTCTCAAAGTCTCAGGTATCTCCAGCCAAAAGACAAGTGTTATAACAGGAACTCTTCTCCCAAGCTGGGGTCCTCTAGACACCCTCAGAGTGACCCAGAGCTGGCCTGTCACAAGGGGGTTTAGGTGGGAAATGTTCCTCGCATGCATCTGTGGAGGGTTTCTGTGTGCCCAGCCCACACCACTAGGGGTTCACTGCGGGGTCATAATGTAGTGAGGAAGCCAGGCAGGAGCATGTGTGGGCATCCACTGGGGCAGCCAGCCAGGGCAGAACAGGGGACATGGACAGAGGGTCGGAGAAAAAGAAGGCGGCAGAGTGCAGTTTGTGCAGAAGCAGGGATGGAGCTGAAGACGGGGATCTGCATCAGCCTCACAGAGGCAGGTGTGCAGAGGGTGTGCGTGACTGTGCAAGACCCATGCGCAGATCCGCACGAGCGCACATGTCCAGGTGAGAGCTGGCTGACAGCCCTCTGGGGTTCAAAGATGCTGCAGGGCTGCAAACATTCCCTGGATGCCTGAATGCCTCTTTTTTGAGACGGAGTTTTGGTCTTGTTGCCCAAACTGGAGTACAATGGCATGATCTCGGCTCACTGCAACCTCTGCCTCCCGGGTTCAAGTGATTCTTATGTCTCAGCCTCCCGAGTAGCTGGGATTACAGGCATGTGCCACCACACCCGGCTAATTTTTTGTATTTTTGGTAGAGACAGGGTTTCACCATGTTGGCCAGGCTGGTCTTGAACTCGTGATCCGCCCACCTCAGCCTCCCAAAGTGTTGAGATTACAGGCGTGAGCTACTGCACCCAGCCTCTTTTTTTTTTTT